AAGGATTATTCATGGTTGGTTGTTGATTAATCGCGTGTTGAATTGAAAAGTAGTTGAATGGTGAAAAAGTGCGCAGGGTCCTGATATGCGCAGGGTCATGATAAACCACGTTATCTAATAAACCTAGATTATATTATTTTTCTAAAGAAAGAAAATTATAAATTAATAATACAAATCTGAAAAAAATGTATTTGATTTAATAATTATATTTATATAATAACTTTCAACAATTATAATTTTGATAATGAATAATAAATAAAATGAAAGAACTAATAATTAAAATATATAATTAAAATAATTTAATAGAATTTATAGAAATTTGTTATAAAAAATCAAAGATTCTATATTGTTTATTATATTATACATTTGTTTGAGAATAAATAATATTTGAAAAGAAAGAATATTATTACAGGTTTATTATATATAACTATCTATACCTATTTGTACCTATTTATATTTATCTATACTCATTTACATCTGTTATATATACATTATCTATTTTTAGTTAGTTTGAATAAATGCCTTCAACATCTATTTACTATATAGTTAATATCGCTCTGTGTGCCTCCTTCTTTCCTTGTTGAATATCATACATCTTATCTAGTTCCTACTAGCACCCGTACAAGCCCCGTGATAGCGGTGGGTGATGGCCTATCGAACAGGCTGAAAACAGATCAAAGTCTTCGAATAGTAGAGCTACTGGTACACTCGAGCTTTTGAATTTACCCTTTGATGAGAAGTTTACTCTTCTAAGTGGTCTCGGTCTATACTATTGCAGGGATAGATTTCGACATCATGACAATCGCGTATAGTAGGGCTTATATCTGCCCCGCCATTTTGTATATTTTCGTAATATACTCGTGATTTCAGACGTTGATACTAACGTTTGATTGGTATACAGCTTCCGAATCAGCCGCTGTCAAAATGTATCTTCCGGTAAGTTCCCATCGCCTACAAGAAGCGGGTCAGATAATTTCCAGCCACTTAATCGACCCGACTCACCAACAATGGCAAAACCACCCGATATCAGACGCGTTTTCCCGTTCCCACATCGCCGGACTTTGTCAGATACCCAATACATCCATTCTTATGATGCCAAGCGGGGCTCCCTGGGCGTTTAACACCCCAGAAAACAATTATGCTTAATTCTCCCGGACCCGCAATCGGACTATTAATAACTCTATCTTCATGATCCGCCGAGACCCACATGTCTTGTTCACCGAATTTTGGAATGTAATTGATTGATCAGACGTCCAAGTCACCAATCCGGAATTCGGCAGGAGAATATCGTATGTAAGGGGAGAGATTGAACGGTTAAACGAGGGGAATATGGTATTAATGGACATGTAGACCGCATGAACACAAGATCAAAAATCTACGACGTCGTAGAAAGATCTACATATAGACTTCCGCTTTAAAAATTAGGTCACATGCAGACAATTGTCACGCCAATTGAGCTAATTGTACCGAAAATAGCAAATGACTCGGCAGACGTGTGATTTCTATTTCGGGAACATTTAGCTAGCATTTCGGCTGTCTTACGGTGACTGACCAATGTGGATGAATGAAAATGCTTAATTAGTGATCATTAGTTGCCCATTGAGGCAAGAGGGAGCTCTCTGCAAGGTATAGAAAAATGGTAGGCAAAACTTGTCACGGGAATAGAGCTGGATGCGGGATGCTAAAAGGTTGGCGTCGCTGAATCTTAGAGAATGGAACCTATAAACAAGGGAATTCGATATTGTGAAGAAACCCGGTTCCTTGGAGCTATATAGAGACATCGTTAATTCCGTTGAGAGCAACTTACTCCGTGTTATTATGGATCCAAAAGAATAGTGATAGAAAGACTACCCCAGGATCAGAAATTCTTGTTCATTGTAAGAAAGGCCAAGCATCCAAATGACCCCTCGAAACAGTGTAAATCTACCTCCACGTTTCTAACACATGGCGAATTGTCAATGCTCAGGAGGAATAACAAAGGGATAACAAGAAAATTAGATTTGAGGATTAGAAGGAGTTTGTCTTTTTTGTTTCTTGTTTCTCGGGCTGATTGTGATAATTGTTTCGTCTGAATCCTACGACAATCACAGTTTGATATTCTTGGAGGCATCGGCCATGCACCGACTCCAACCTTCTCCTCAAGCATCCACCCGTTCGTCTCATCATTTAGCGATCAAACATAAGGCGGTTTTCTTTGAGTCGGTTCGCGATAACTTACCGTGCCAGATAGATTTATTACCATTTCGGCGAACCACTCCCCTCCTCAGTTGCTGAAGATCGGTCAGAAATTCTTTAATCCATAGCAAATCTGTCATGAGGGAGAAGGCCCTGTCAGACCGGTAGTGATCAATGCCATGCCAGCAAAGATAAGATTTCATATTCGCAGGGCTACAATGGTTCGTTTAGGTTTAAATGAACTAACCGCTCGGGTAATTTTCGTTAGGGAAAGTAAGGTACGAAGTTAGTTACGGGTGACGTGAGGCGTAAATAGGAATAGTAATTTTCCGATGTGGGATTGAAGATTATTTCGAGAAGAAGTTTTCTTAGTGCCTACTCGTAGATACAGTACCGTATGATACCTGCCTATTCAGACAGTGTAGCATTGTAGCAATGTAACACTTCAATAAATGAGGTTATTTCCCTTCGTACAATCTTACCGTGGTACAACTAGGTACATACGGAGGTATAGTTTTTCATCTTATGCGTACCACCGAGGTGAAGATAGACCAACGAAGATAGAGATGATAATGGATCAATTGACAGCTAAAAAAAAGGTATGCGATACGAACAACGAACTATAGTCTCAACCAGAGGTGACAAGTTTTGTATGGTCAAGAATGAATTAGATGAAGCTCTAAATGGGTGCACGCAATATAGGTATTTTTGGTACTGGAGGTGGTGTTGTGTACGTGCACCATTCGGCAACGCTATTATGGTAGGGTACTCAGTATATCACAGTGGATTAGCTCAACCTACCTAGCTAGCTTTTAAATCAGCTGAATCCGTCTTAGCGCATAGAAACAGTTCTATTCTCGACTTTTTTTCTTTCTCTTTTCCTTCAACAACCTTTAACCTTCGTGTTGCCATGACACAATTCGCTTCGTACACCAACAACGATCCTTGGACTTCTGTTACCCATACACTTCCAGACTACCATCCGAATCTCTGTGCACCCCCTCTTCGACAATGGTATGTATGCATGCAGAAGGTAGGATAAGATGTAAGATCGAGGATTCAATGCTTGAAATCTTGGTCCAAATAAATGCATAAACTACTAGGTATGAACTTCGTACATACCACAGCAAAGATGGTCAGAAAAAGCCATTGTCTGCAAGTCAAGTGGGATGGTACAGTACAGTGATCACAATGAAGAAATCCACATTTATCTGTATCAGTGTACAAAGTTCCTAATCAGTGATAACTTCCCTCCGCGTCGAACTAGTGTCTTCAGGGTCCGGGTTAATCTACCAGGGTTTTATTTATGGCTCCCATTTTTATTTGTCTGATGTTCTCGATGGAGTCAACTCACCTCGATGTCTATAAGATAAGTTTGTTCTCCCTTCATTTATGGTAATTGATCAACAGCTTCAACTTCAACTTCAACTTCAACTTCAATTACAACTTTGACTTCATCCTCATCCTCACCCTCCTTCAAGAAAGTTCATCTGATCTTCAATCTCGATACACGTGCCAGTACGGCAATTCAAAACCTTCAGAAGTACATACAGTCTCTCTACGGCAGATTCACTTCCAGATTTAAAAACATTTATAATCTTGAACCTTCCCGGTCTTGAAATTTGGGCCCACCCACCTCTTCACATTTGTGTCAATCACTACTTCCCACAAGACCGAAATCTCAAGTTCTACAATCACAACTTCAACATCAACGACATCATGCATTCTATCAGCAGTCTCGTCATCCTCTTGGCTTCGGCCGTTGCAGCTGTTCCAGTCAACACCGTACCGGCCCTCCCATTAGGTAATCATAGTTGTGCAACACCATCACTACCTGTCAATGGAGGTGCGCTCTCATCTCTTCAAGTCTCTCCCACTACAGTGCCAAAAAGTTCAAGCTAACGATCTTTATTATCAGGTGCTTCTGAGCTCCCAAAACCAAGTGGCCCTCTCGTCTATGTTGCTCTCGGTCGTGGTATCCAAAATTACACCTGCTCCGCTGTTGGTGCTACTCCAGTAGCTATCGGTGCCGTCGCATCCCTCTACGATGCTACCGAATACGCCAAGTGCTCTGGTACTGCATTCAACACCTTCCCAGGTATCGCTGTCTATACCAGTCTTCCCTCTTCCAGTAGCGCTCGCTTCATGGGCCTCAATGCTCTAGGCAAGCACTTCTTCGATGCCAGTGGAACTCCAACATTCGACCTCTCATCTGTCTCAAAGATCCTGTACGCTGCTAAGACTGGTGGTATCGTCGCTCCCGTCAATTCTAGCCCAGGACCTGCTGATACTGGCGCCGTTGACTGGTTGTCGTTGGATGCCAAACCCACTTACACATCCGTTGGTCTGAAGCAAGTCTACCGTGTCGAGACAGCTGGTGGTAACGCAATCAATCCTTGCAGGGTCGCTGGTGTTGAGAGTGTTCAATACGCTGCTCAATACTGGTTTTACAGCTGACTGCCTGATGATACTCCCGATCCTTCAGACAACGATGATGACGTATGTGATAATTCTGAGGAGTAATGGAGCAGTCATCACCCGGAAACTTTCTTACGACTTCTAACGATTCATGTGGGGGTGGGTGGATGGATGGATATGATATAACCAAGAAACAACAGAAAAAAATTGCCTATGTAGAACGGGCTTCATGAAGGGGAGGGCAAACGAAAGGGATACTACAGCAGGGCATGCAATAATTTGTACATACTTTTCTTTTCTCTACATATTAGCTGTAGTGCTAAAGTGCTTGTTTGTTAACTTGCCAAGGTTTTAGGGCTACTTTAATTGCAAAGTTCCATCCTTGAATCCTGGCTTTCCCATGAAATTTTCCGTGAACTCAATGATAATATCTTAAGATACAAAAAGCCAGATTCTGCTAAATTATAGTGAGGTATAGATTTCATGGTGTTTTTTGGTATCAAAGTGAATTAAATATTCACGATTCTTATTTCTTTTTTATTTTTGTTATTTTTTTTTAATAATAGAATAAAAGATAAATCAAAAAATATAGATTAATTAAAGGCTTTTTTATTTCATTTATTATATATTCTATACTCTTTATAAAACTTTATAAGATCTTCAACTCGTTTCATTTATATTCATTTTAACCGGAATATAATAACCAAAAGATAGACCAGATCTATACTATTCAGTACTTATTCCGTACCAAAGATGATTTTCATAGAATCTATTTCTATACAAATGAATGAATAAAAGAACGAGAAAGTATAGAACTTTATAACCAAAGTAGCTCTTACTTTATAATTAGCACTCTATGTAATAATCTCTCATCTGTGTTTGTTCTATCGTTAAATGGAACTACCTTGACAACCCATTTCAGTCTACGATGATCTAAGCAGTGAAATTGTTTTATCAGGAAAGGGAGGAAGAAGGTTGAAGGTGGAGAGGAGGTGATGTGGGAATAGAGTATGGATAAAATCACTCTAATAATCAGGATGTACGTAGTCATAATTGATAAATTCACGCTCAATCCACATCTTCCGTCTCCGACAATGGTTTGAACCGCCCTTAACCGAGGCAACTGGAGGGGTCTTGTAGATCACTGGGGAAGTTGGAAAGAGTAAGTGGAAATGGAATGCAGTTGTGCCTAGGTATCTACCGGTAAAGAAATTCAACAACTCACCAATTAATTCCCTTGAAAACGAACTCTTCAATTGTTCTTTTTGATCTGTCGATGTGAACATAAAATTATCCTCATTGATTTAAAGAAGAAAAAAACTATGTCGACAATTAATCGTAGTGTTCGCACGGCATCAAGAACTTTCCGATTACCAGCCCAATCAAGAAGCCTCAGAATCCCACTTTCATTGAGAACTCGAGCAAACTTCGGAGCTTCAACAAGAACAACTTCATCCTTCAAACAATTCTCAACCATGTCGCCTCTACAATCTGGGGCCCCGCCACCACCACAAGCTCGAGAATATGATCCTGAGATCAAAGATATCGCCAGCTATGTTCACAACACTCCAATTGACTCTGATCTCGCGGTGAGCTTTTGCACGAATAACATTGACTACTCTGCTAATTGATTCTGTCAGTTTGACACAGCTCGATTTGTTTTTCTCGACACTTTAGGATGCGGCCTCGAAGGTTTACGATTCAAAGAATGTACCAAATTATTGGGTCCGATTGTCGAAGGCACTATTGTTCCCAATGGCACAAAGGTTCCCGGTACACCATTTCAGCTCGACCCTGTGAATGGTGCATTTAATATCGGTGCCATGATTAGATGGCTCGATTATAATGATTGCTGGCTGGCCGCAGAATGGGGCCATCCTTCCGATAACTTAGGAGCAATTCTCGCGGTGGCAGACTGGATTTCTCGAACAAACAGAGCTGGAGGAAATCTCGGCAATGGCAAAATTATAACCATAAAAGAGGTTTTGGAAGCTATGATTAAAGCACATGAGATCCAGGGCTGTCTGGCACTCTTGAATTCTTACAACAAAGTCGGTTTAGATCACGTTGTACTTGTCAAAGTTGCTAGTGCTGCTGTCGTCTCCAAAATGTTGGGTTTGAGCGAGAAGCAAACTGCAGATGCAGTTTCGCAAGCTTGGGTTGATGGGCAGAGTTTAAGAACATACAGACACTCTCCAAACACCATGTCAAGAAAATCGTGGGCTGCTGGTGATGCTTGCCAGCGTGCCGTAAACTTGGTCTTGAAGGTTATGAAGGGTGAGCCTGGTGTTCCTACAGTTTTGTCCGCTCCTGAGTGGGGTTTCTATGATGTTCTCTTCAAAGGAAAGAAATTCGAATTCCAGCGCCCATATGGTAGCTATGTTATGGAGAACGTTTTGTTCAAGGTATCATATCCAGGTATGTCTCCTCTTTCTATGCGATGCTATTATCTCTTCTAATCTCTTTCAGCCGAGTTCCACTCTCAAACCGCCATCGAAGCCGCCAAGCGTATTCGTCAACAATTGGTAGACCAAGGAAAGTCTGCCGCTGATATTAAGGAGATTACCTGCAGAACACATGAAGCTTGCGTTCGTATCATCGACAAACAATTTAAACCAATGGACAACTTCGCGGATCGTGATCACTGCATTCAATATATGACTGCAGTCATGCTCGTTTTTGGACGCCTTGAGGCTACAGACTACACAGATGGCGGCGAGGCAGCCACTTCTCCTTTGGTTGAATCACTCCGACAAAAGATTGCTTGTGTTGAAGATCCGCAATTCACCAAGGATTACCACAATGAGAACAAGCGAACAATTCCAAACGCATTGACCGTCACCTTGAACGATGGACAAGTTTTGGAAGAGGTTGTTGTCGATGCTCCATTGGGTCACAAATTGAGAAGAGAGGAAGCGAAGCCCGAGATCTTGGCCAAGTACAAGAGACACTTGGGTCCACATTATAATGAGGCCAAGGTCAAGGAATTGGTAGACCTAGGCAATGACTCCAAAAGACTCGAAGCAATGGCAGTGGATGAATATGTTGACTTGTATGTAAGCAAAGACAGCAAGTTTGTCTAGATTAAGTATTTAGATGTGTACAATAAATTATTGCTGGTTGGTTTTATTTCTGAACAAAGGTAATGGGCACCTGTATGTGTGATCTCAACCACCATTTCTTATTCTTCTTTTGGGAGCCGTATTTCCATTTACAACTATATATAGCCTTCATATGCACAGGAAACAACTAGCGGGCATCTCATCCATCTCTCAAACTCGATCGGAGGTCACGTGTGTATGATCGACACAGGGGCCACTTGAGTGGGCCTCGTCCCAACACCACTCAAAACCCCCTTGAATTCTCCAACCTCTTCTTGACGAAAACAGTTCAATCCATCTTTTACCTCTTCTACTACATACGCAATTTCTCTACCAAAACTTATTCCCCATCATGGTACGTAGAGCCAAAATATGCCCCCACTATTTTGCTGATCGAGTATTAATCTTAATTTAGGCCAAACCACTTTCGAATGAGGAAGTTATTATCCTCAAAGAAGCATTCGATGCATACGTAAGTCTATACCAGTGACGAGAAGTCACATTTGCAAAGTTGTAAGCTAATATGACGAACAGGACACGGATAAAGGAGGCGAGTTATGCGAAAATGACAACAATATTCTCACAGCTAATCAAGTCTCTACAGGTAACATCACAATCGAAGAATTTGGCCGCGTGATGAAACAGTCCGGGCAAAATCCAAGTGAAGAAGAACTTGCACAGATCATCAAAGAAGTTGACCTCGATAACGACGGCACTATAAATTTTGATGGTATGATTATTATTCCATGCTCCATGCTGTTGATTCGATTACGCGTCGATAGATACTCACTGAATGCGTTTAGAATTCATTGCCATGATGACTGGTCGAACGAGACAAAAGGAAGAGGATTCAACGCTCGGTGAAAATGACTCAAGGGCAGACTCGGCGCCGATTCCTGTGTCAAGTGAGCTTGACGATCCAGAAGAAGAGTGGAAGTCTGCGTGGAGGGAATTTGATCACTCGTTGAAAAGTTCGGTCACGTCAGCTCAGTTGAGGCAGATTTTGGGAAATCTAGGTGAGACGATTAGTGATGCGGAGATTGATAATGTGATTATGAAGTCGGTGGATGCGGAGGAGAAGATTAGTTGTGAGTATTTTTGTCATCCCATGTGAGATGTGAGGGGGGTTATGTATTGAGGAAGAAAACTACTGACTTGGAATAGATTCGGAATTTGTGGAGTTTATGAATGGGAGATCTACGGCGGAGCTGGATATTCTTGATAGTTATTAGGAGGAAGTTCGGCTTGGAGGAGTTATGGCGAAGGCTATGATTCTTTCCAGGGATGAGTAGTAACAGACCTGCCTTTCTCGAGTATAAACTTGCCAAAATGGCCATTAGATTTATTACCTTCTACGGACGGAGTTTCATTTCTATCTCAGCTTCGATGAATCCTAGTGAAATCCAAGGCGGTAGAAGTCCTTTCTTACTACGTGATTCATTAGTTCAGACTATAACTTTGTAGCCTGTACATTATATCTTTTCTCCAATAAAATTATGAGATAGAGTTTCTTCCAATCCAAGACGCAGCTAAATAGTTTTAGTCATCACCACAAAAAATATATTGTCAGTCGCACCTATTTCAGCAGTTTTACTTTTCTCAAATCCTGGCTTTCTCTTTTCGATTCTCTTTTCTACTTTCATAGAATATCCAAGCCAACCTAACCTCCCCTTCGAAGACGACGCTCGACGCTCACAACAAGAATTCCCGATTTTCAAACGTCAATGTCAACTTCAACTTTCAGAATGTGGGTTCAATTCTACAAGCCAGTCACTTCTACCGTATCGACCCGCAATCCCTTTCCGTCAAGCCATTCTCAACTCTCAACTCTCAACTCTCAACCAATATCATGCCAATCGCGATCTTTTTCGAGGATTCTTTTAAATGGGGAGATTGATGCTCTCTTTCTTGATATCGACACGCTTCAGTGCTACGTGGAGACGCATGCAGGTCCATTTGATACTGGTCTCGGAACAATAGATCCCGCAAACCTCTCTCGAGTTTGGAATCTAGCTCTCCGTATCCCCATACAGATCATTCCATGCCCGCAAACATATGCGTTGTCTTGTAAAGCTTGTATTTTCGCGTCAACTGAATTGGATGAAAATTACAGTTCGAGAACTTCTCCCATCATCAAGTTATAACATAAAATTTATCCCATCAACATGCGGTAAGATGCCACAGATTTTTGTGGATTTTCGAATGTTTGTCCTCATGACAATATTTCAAAATTTGACTTGTGGTATCTTTCGCAGCTCGAAAAATGGGGGACAATCAGGGCAGCTAGAATAAACAATGGTAGGGCGGCGGCAAGGAGCACAACTCCAAAGTCTGGTAAGCGAAGGAGATTTTTCTTTCAACAACTGTCATCTTATTGATGAATTTGATTAGAATAAAGTTCATGAACCAATTCTTTGTGACACGGGTGACGATGATATTCGTCCAGATTCCAGAAATAAACAATCAGTTTCTCGAGTGCACACCCATACCTCTCGAAGAGCTGCCGTTGCTCGATCTACGCTTCTCAAAATAACAGTTAGGTCTGCAACTGATCTCTATCTACTAAATGGGATAGTGCAGCTGCCATAGGGAGGAAGTTCTACTTTGTCGCTGACAGAAAGCCCGCAAAGCAGTTCAGTATCATCTGACAGTCACGATGCATCCCAGAATTCATTGTGTCTTACCAGCAACACAGAGTTAATCAGGCTTCAAGCGTCTTTGCGCGATCAATTACGTCAATGCCGAAAAACAGCTGACAAGCAGTCAACCATATATTTTGTGCCAAAGTGTCGGCAAGACAAGTTGCTCACCGTTGAGACGATCGCGAACGATCTATGTCACAACGATCCTTTGATACCAGATTACACTGCTACAACTCTCGCAGCAGAAGAAGTTTACAAAAGTGTCAAAAAGATATATGGGACCTTGGCATATATGAAGAGAGGTGCGGATGTTCGCCAATTCCTGGATGACTCAAATCTTGGACAAGGATCTTCCCTTGAAGTATGATGAAATCACTACTTCCTTACGGACATCATGTGGTAGGTTCATACAAGGTCTTGGCAGTTGGGATGGGGAACGGATGGAATAGTTTTACGGGAAGCAATGGTGGATGACAGCGCCTGTGTTCAAAAACAAAAAACTTATCGAACTTCATGAAAACGAAGTTTTACCCTTTATCTCTTTCGGGGAGGACGCTGCAATAACAAGACTAAAGCAAGGAGCATATTGTGAAGTATATCCAGTGTATATTCACCATTCTCATCATGACTTTTGGAGTAACAATTATGCAAAGGTAGCTAGACCAATGATAATTTCGGGTGTGTACAGGAGACTGACTTAGTATAAGGAAAAGAGCCTTTAGTGGCTGTGAAAAAACTATTCTCATCCGAGGAGACCGAATTCCGCGAGGTTGATTTTTTGACCACTCTCGGCTCCAAAAAGCCACATTATTACCTCATAAGATTGTTAGTCACTTATCGACATAAGGAAGCATATCATCTCTTATTTCCCTATACGCACGCTAATTTACGAACGTACTGGGAGAAACGATCGATGCTTGCCTTCGACGAACAAACGTTTGTGTGGTCCTTAAAACAGATGGCTGGCCTCGTCAATGCATTATTTTGCGTACATGAATTCAGCGTCGCGGTTCCACCCGATATTAATGTAGCCAGAAACTTGCAAAAGCATAAGGATGCCACTTAAGCGTGCGGAAATGCGAAGAAATACTTGACCGACATGGCGATATCAAGCCCGAGAATATACTTTGGTTCGAAGAGGTCCTGAAGCGGATGACCCAAGAGATATCCTGAAGCTTGCGGATTTTGGCTTAGCGAAGTTTCACAGCAATGATTCAAAATCGCAAGATTCGCATTCCGACGTGTTCTCTTCGCCAACTTACGAGCCCCCAGAGTGTATATTACGGCATCCTGTTTCTCGTGTCTACGATATCTGGAGTTTAGGATGTGTCAATCTAGAATTTATCACCTGGCTTCTCAAAGGAAACGAGGATATTGCTGCCTTTTCAGATTGGCGGGGTACTCTTGCAGGGAGTAACAAGATTGACGAGGATATATTCTTTACCCTCTTAGGTAAAACAGATCATGGCCCAGAGGCTACAGTCAGACAATAATTCAAAACCTGGGTGGAGCAACTCCACGAGCTGCCGAGCATGAGAGATGCTCGCAGCTTATCCATGATCTATTGGATTTGACTATGGAGCACCTTCTGCTCATCGATTCCAGTGATCGAATCAAAGCTCCTGCTCTCAACCAAAGATGATATTCTATTGTCAACGGGCAAGAGCAGATAAAGAATACATATTGAAGCCAGTCCCTTTTCCAAGAAAGTCGGGAAACGAACGAACTGTCTCTGATTCTACAATTCTGGAAGCTACCACGATATAAGAAGATCGAACCTCACATCGCTTTCATTGATCCAATAAAAACCAGTGTTTCACAGAGGGCTAAGATATCGCGCCACATCGATGTATCAAGCCTCAAGTTCAAGCAAATGTCAATACGGCCGTCGGAGGTTCTTGTGAAGTGATATGGACACTGGCCGTCATCCTTCAATCAAATATATATCGAAAGAACAAAATAAGAAACCCTCAAACATATATTGCAAGGAATACGATAGGTATGCTATTACTAATCGATCATTTTTCTACCATACATGCATTTTATTCAACAAACTATCCTAATAGAACCTCATCAAACTTTTGCTTGAATCTCTTGTTATACGGGGTGAGGGGTATTGATGGAGCAAAAAGTACGAGTATTGATGCACCAGAAAAGGAACGCGAAGGCAATTAGAATGGAGAAATTTAAGACATAGCATTGTGGCTACAGAGTATCCTCAAACAAACATTCAGCCCCATCTCAATACTTTATTCGTTTACCACTAACAAAAAAGAACATCCGATGTCAAACGGTAGAATGTGGTGAAAATCGGTAGCGCAAGGCAGATTTTGAAATTTCACAGCCATCGTGACAGTGATTGTGCGCAGCTGGCTGGCTCAGCTCAGCCATATCCTATGTTGTATTTGTGCATGAGTTGATTTCCTCTTAAACACCACCAAAAGTCGGCGTCAGTACTTGTTTCTAAATCACATAATTAATCACAATTAGGCAACACGAACAACTGTAAGGGTCTCCGGTGTCTCTACGAAAAATCGCCCTCGTCGAACCTAAATCATAAGATCAGTCTAAAGTCCCAGAAGGATGTTCCACGCCGCTGGGGTGACATGGTATATCAAGCGATAGAGAGAGAGACTGACCTAAATCTTCTAGCTTTGTTTGGGAAAATGGTCTATCAAGAATTCCTTGAGCTTAACCTCATTTACATATCCATCCTCCAAAGTTTGCGTAGGCATTTCTTCCGATTGGTGCAAGGCACGAGGAAGAGTAAGGAGCTTGAGGATACAAGAAATCCTATCGAAAATTTGTTTCTAAAATTGTGTTAAAGATGCACGTTTTTCTTCCTGTGAATATCAGGTTTCAGGCTCCTTTTTACATACAGGACATTGAGGCTCTTGTCCGAAGATACCGGTACAAGAATTAGGCTGGAGATAGACTTGCTACACCGAATTACCCAATGCGTTGTGTGTCATGCGTCACAGATAATATCACCATGTGATGGTGTATTTCTTTTACCCAATCTATCGATCGGTCTTCCGCGAGATCCGTCTAATTGACAGTTGGACGTTGGAAGTTGATGAGTAATTAATTGGTAATCATTGTACCATCAATCCGTTTATTCATCGCCGGAACTAAAGGGGTTAACGTACTATAACGAATATAACCCCCCGATTAGCTGTTTAGAATTTGCAAAGCTCTACCGATATGATATAATATACCAATTTTCGCTAGAACCATTCATCTCATTATACCAAAACACAATAATCTACTTACAAATTAAATAATCCTTTCTAATCCAGGAATTCATTCCCTGCCCATCATATTGTAAACTCCTAGCTCCCAGCTCCCAGCTCCCAGCTCCCAGCTCACGGTGATTATGTGATGAAGATAGCATGCCATGATTGATATATGTGAGAATACTCGAGTATAAAGCACACGAACTACTCGAGTACAACTATAATGAAACTCCTCCACAACTAAATAATTCCAGGAAAGCATGCAATCTTACCTACCGTATTAGTAGTTATTCACCAATTATAATTAAATCAAATTGAAAAAAATGATATATAAAATGTCTGCTCTTATCCCGCGTACTGTTGTTAATACTTTTATTCTCCTATTCTAGTAACCTTAAGCACGGTAAGTACCCAAAATCTCTTCGCTTGCATAACCTTACCCATGCCCATACTGTATCCCTTTGCATACCTATCCCGTGTAAGAAGCACATCCGTATCAACTCCCCACTAGGTTATAAGCTAGCTCCCAACGCCATAAACTCCCACCTCAAACTCTCCCATCAAATCCTCAATCCTCAATCCTCAAAACCCCAACCTCAAATAATAAATCCCTCCTCCAGCTTCAGGAAGTGTAGCATCACTAACTAGTACTAGTATCAGCACGCTGCATGCACGCATGCATACTTAACAACAGCACAGCACAGCACCCCAATCTACCTCTCGAAAAACCCAGGGAACCTCCTATCAATGATCTCCTGAGACCTAGCCATTATATTCACATCAGAACCCCATTTTTAAGGCCCATTAAGCGCTTGATAAGGAGGATTTCGAGCAGCCAATACATGAGTGGGTAGTTGACTGTCGTTATACGCCTGATAAGCAGGATCTTGAGGAGCAAATACTCCGGAATGGTGGTACACACCGAATTTCGACACCGTGGGGAGGGCAGGAAGGGTGATGATATTCTGGGTAAGGTTTTGGTTGTGGTTGTGGTTGTGGTTGTTGAGGAATAAAGTTTCGTCGTCTGGTTCGTCTTCTGATTCCTCTTCTGGTTCCTCTTCTGGTTCCTCTTCTGGCTCTGGAGTAGCAGTCACAGGAACTTGCTCTGGATGTCATGGGAGATTCGTCGGATAGTATGCACAAGTAGTCCTATGTGCTGCATTTCCCATTGCGGAGCGAATTAATTTATAATCGACGAAGCAGAGCCAGCAAAACTCATGCTTGCACGCACGACCTAGTGATTGTGATTATTAGCTACCGGTTATCTGGATATCTAGTAAATATTCGCGGGATATAAACTCACAAGTCATATGATCGCAGCCATAATTTTTCTCGATGCGAACTTGACAATTTGGACACCGCTTGGTAACCGTCTCCAAAAGTCTTTGACTTTGTTTTTCCTGGCGCAGCCTCTCTCTCGCTTGGTTATCGTATTCGCTGCAGGTGAGACCGGTGTGCCAGGGCATTTTATGCGTGAAGCATGTTCTGAACCCACAGGATCCACATTTCATGATTGGCTGGTCATCACCATCGTCGTGGATCTGACCGTCGTTGCAATGAGGGCCTAGACAATTTGTGAAATTGGGATCATTGCGGAAGTAGGATAGAAGTGAATTTTTGTCGTATCTATCTCACATATTAGCATTAGCATTGATGAATATAATGAGACTGTCAGGTGATGTGATGTTAGCATACCTGATGAAATCAGCCTCCGAGGCAAAGGACTTCACGTTATCGAAGGAAGAAAGGCGGGGCATTCGGGACATGTAAGCTGATCCCATTCTTTGCTTTCAATCTGTGCTCCGATACTTCGAGAAAGACATGCGTGACAGCAGGTGGGATCATGCATGCAATCAGCGGAAATCTGATGTGGAAAGTCATCAGAAATGAGTTCTTCTGCGCATATAGAACATTCTTTTAGTTTTGGCTCGGGAGGATCTTGGCGCTTTATGCTGAAATCATCATCTTCCTCTTCATCTTCACCATCATCATCAGAATCCACCCTTGCGATTTGGATAATTCTTCTGCGTTTCTTAACTCGAGATGCCTGTAGCCGTGAGGATCGTTGAATACGTGGCCGATAGTGATCCAATATAAGACCGGTGGACCCTCTATCCAACCAAGTTTCAATGGCTTCTTGTTGTTCGACCGAAATCCGTCCTTGGTTTTCTACCGCGATCAATCGACGCATCAGCTGGGCTTTGTTATACCTGGAATAATCAGATTCCTGCAGGAAACCCAGAATCTTTTGCATGCTAGTTACGCGATGCTGAGCTAAGGTTCGACCGAGGACGCGTTCAGGTTGATCGCTGTTTGTGCCGTTGCCTGCCATGTTGATCTTCGATGATTCTGATAGTATGACAAGTGTATTACCTGGTTGCGAAGTCGTTTAGTTGAGAGGATGTTAGCTGAAAGCTCTTTTCTGATACAGTAGAGATTCGAATTCGGGGAAGGCTGATAAGAGTCGAGTTGATTTGGAAAGTGGGTGAAATATTGTCTTAAATTTGGAGGTTGTGTAAGTTGAAAAGTAGTGAGAGTTCGAAGTGATGCAAATTCCCATGGACTTGATCATAAATCACATTGAATCGGATTCGAAGATACAATGAAGTCGAATCCGAAACACTGTACGAGATTCCAGGGTCCCGAGAAGACAATAGAGGTTTCGGGATAGAAGTTGCATAATCCACTTGATGTTGATGTAGTTCTGTAAGAGAAACTTCCTGAAATTGAAAGCAGATTCAAGGTGAGGTTTTATCTTTCAAATTCTAGATCAGATACGGTTACAGGTCATGCCATGATTAAGCCAGCCAGCCATTTATTTGCCAAAATATAAATATTCAGTAAAGAATAGTGAATCTCTACACGTAGTCAGGAAAGGTGGCCTGGGATAATCAATATTAATACAGCTCCCTCATCCACGAATCTTCATCATATCATCCCAACAAATCCTTAGCCACACTCAAAATTCGTAAGCTCCAACTACACCCCCAAGTTCCAACACCACCAAATCTACAAATCCAAATCCAAATTCAAATTCAAATCCAAATTCCAACATGCAAAATAATACCCTCAATGCATTCAAGGCAGCGTAGAAGCGGAAGTCTGTCACTAGGAACCCAGCAGAAACCCATTTTGTCTGCAGGCCAAGAGCTGCAAGCAGTCAATGGTGATATATTCTTTTCCTTTCCATTCCTATAGTTTCCAACTTCTAGCTTCCAACTTTTAGCAATAGTCTTATCTACCATGACTTTCTATCCGAACCTATTGGTACCGGTATATCATATTTTGATAGTGATCTTACCTAATAGAAATCCACCAGAAACCCAATCTATCTACTTGTACAAGCCTAAAACTACAAATAGTCAATAGTGGGATATTCTTTCCCTCCCATCTCTATTCCCTTAATCCTCCCATGCCTTCCATCCCTCATTCCCATTCCCATACCCTCTATTCCTCTCCTTCCTCCCATTCCCATCCCTTCCATCCCCATCCCCATCTCCATCCCCATTCCCTTCTATCCATTCCCCCCTCATCCCCATCCCCATTCCATCCCTATACCATCCATCCCCATCCCATACCTTCCACTTTCGAACCCTCCAACCCCCAACAATAGTATAGTATAGTCTAGTCAACCATAAGTCCATAACTTTCCATCCGAACCCATTGGTACCGGTATATCATCTCATCTCATATAATAACATATTATTTCATATCATATTTCCTCATATTATATTTCTATACAATAGTTAGTAGTCTTGCCTAAAAATAACACCTAGAAATAACACCTAGAAATAACGCCTAGAAGCAACGCCGAGAAGTAACGCCTAGAAGTAACTAGACGAACAGAAGAATAGAATGGCTCAACTCAGGAGTCAACTGTGATACAATCTTGGTACGAAGATTTTATGAGATATATGGCACTTAGAGCCTATATATTTAGGAATCGAGGTTGTGATGACTATAGTTAAGAACGTTATAATGTCACCCGAGTCCAGGTATTCAACATGTTCCCAAAGGTAAATTAGCAATAAGAATACAATTAAAGGAGAAGACATCGAAATAAAGAGGCCGCAAAAAGCACATTTGCATGATGGGAGTAACTACTGACTAATGAGTATTAGATTGTTTTGATCTGTGAGTAGTAGTGATGCGAAACAATTATACTATGAATAAATTCCCCTTCCAACTTCTCCTACCAATAATGTCTGATTAGCGAATAAAAAGAAAATACAGATGTCTGAATAAAATGTCATCCAAAGAATATGCTACGTGGATCATCCACCAGTACTTTCTGGTAAAACCATTCGTTTACAACTTCTCACGAATGGCCAAACATCGCTCCCTAGTGTATCATTCCTACACGGCATCAGCTCGCATGGCGAATGGAGATTAGACTCGAGATTCTTACGATGGTCGGCGCGGCTTGAGCGGCAATGCCGGTAAGATTAGTTCTTTAGTTCGGCGAAGATTGAGGGCTGGAAGAACTGGCAATTGTGGTGGCTTTCCATCAGCAATGCTTGAAGGGGGAGACTTTGAAATGGCCAGAGCAGGCCAGTCAGATGAGTTGGTGGGAATACCCGAGACAGTATGTTGTCCCTTCTCCTGGTTGGCCTCGGGCAAGCCACACTTTTTCTTGTTTGAATCCATCTTTGGTTGATCCAGCTGCCCAGAAAATTTAGCGTCACCATCGAGGTAGGTTTTCTCCTGTGACTTGGCTGTCTTGGGTTCGGCTTTGCGGATAGATCCAGTGGCGGCTGTTGAAGAATCGTGATTATCAGAATTGTTTGACTGGGTCTGTTTCTTGAGATCCTTGGCGGATGCTGAACGGCTCTTGCTCATAGAATCATTAAGAGACCCGCCAGTCTTCGATCTCTTGTGGTTGGATTTGACAGCAGATACATTGGGTAGAGTTGAAGCCGGCGTGATATTGGAGGTCGGGATGAATTCGGGTTTGATTTCAGTTCCCACGGACTCTGCTGAGGCCTTTTCTCTCTCAACCAACTTTTCGGTTTCGTTCTTACCAGCCTGTGATTTGAAAATGGCATCCTTCAAGTGATCATTAGACTTCGATTCAACGGAAGAAACACTTGGTTTTCTGATCCAGTCCCCACTAGATAATCTGTCGTCGCTAATGAGTGTCGGATTTGTGCATTCAGAGTCGACCGGTGAGATAATAGCAGGAGTTGAGCTAACAAAGATGTTCTCCTTGTCGATATCTATCTTACTGGTAGATTTGAATTGCTTTTTGTTCTTCTTTGAATTCTTGATCTTGCCTTGAGACACTGGTTCCGAGGCCTTCGCGTTTACTATCTCGCTCGACGACTTTGGTAAAACTTTGTTGATATAGTCTGAAGGTACCGGATCTGTCACTGGTATCTGTTTGATGATCTCCATATCCAGTGCCCCAGGTTCTGCGGTGAATACTTGATTTGTTGTCGAGCTTGTTACTACGCAACTGGGAGAATTCTCTGGTGAAGCCACATCTAGTGTTTGACCGACAGCCTTCTCCGCTGCCAATCTTTCCAGTTGAGACTGAGAAAGTGATCTGACAGGGGTTACAATCGGGGCCGTAACGGTTGATCTATCGATATGTTAGCATGGAAAGAATTTACAGGTTTTCTCGGACTTTAAGACCCACGTATTTTGTCTGGATGTTGATGTTTTCTTGTGTTTGCTGCCCGGATGATTACTTAAATCCTTCCTGGGAGATGTAGATTGCATATCCCCAATATATCTTGTTCATCATTAGCGATTTGTACAAGAAGAAAACAATTTCTGTGTAAGTTTGCGTAATGACTCACGTCTGCTTGATTGGCGAGTTCTCCTTTCTATTACGTGGGAGGCTAGGAATATTTGCCATAGTGAGACCAGGCCCATATCTTGAATTTGGAAGATGAGTTTCTCTATTGGATCCACCATATGATCGATGATGGACAGTGCCGGCAGCATTTGTTCTGTTGTTCATTACGGCGAGAGGCATTTGATTTTGTTGTTGTTGATGTTGGAATTGTGCAATTCCTCTTTCATGCTGCATAACTTCCGATAAAACAGCACCTATCGCAACTCCTCTTGGTGATTGTTGATGCGTAACTGGTGCATATGGCGCGGGGTATGAATGGACAGGCTTGGAATTTGATCTGCGTGGGGAAAACTCGGAGATATTGCCTGAAGTCATATGATTGCCATTTGGATATTGAAATGGCACCTGGCCACTTTGGGATCTTGATGGGCGATGTTGTGATATCGAGCCTCTGCCTGAATAAGCTCGACAATCAAGCCCAGCATTGGGCATATAACGAACGCGATTGTCTCCATGGTAGCTGTTGTAACTGGAGTTACTATTCGATCGCTCTCTCATAGTATCGTGTGGGTATCCTGCTGTGAGTAATCGTCCATCATGCATCTTGTAGCCATCAAATCTCTGAATCGCAAGGGCCACGACATCAGCATCAAATCTACCAACGCGATTAGTTCCTAGGCCTTAATGAGAGGAGTGTGTAACTCACGTTACAAACGCTGGCCCATTGTTCTGAGGTTTGAGCAAGTATTTGATTGACACAACTTTTCCAACTGTGGACATCAATTCACTTAACTGATGAGTGCGAAACATGTTCAAATCTGGACCTTTCAAGTACAAAGTTCGACCATAAGAGTTTCTTGGTACAGAAGGATCGCCATAGCGAAATACCAAGAATTCGTCTGTCTTTTGGAGCTTGGGATCTCCTTCCATTCGACCTAGATTAAGAGATAGATTGGTGTCTGAACGTTGAAAAGTCTTAAGTTTTCGAGCATCGTTAGGAAGCTCCATGCGAGAACCAACCAAACCAGCGTTGCCCATGGGCTGATTTGAGGTATCCCCAAAAGAATTGGAAGCAGGCTGGAAGTTACGGACGTAAATAGGTTCGGACTGAACGGCTCGAGGGGGGCTGACTGTCGTATAACCGGGGACATTTTGTTGATTGACATGTGATTGATGGACAAACTTGTTTTGGTGGGCATTTCCATGTGCCGTTGTCCACTGGTTTCTTTTATTACGAGGGGTTTCAATCGAATGTCCACTCGGCCTAGGTTTGTTGCGAAACCCATTATCGTTGCGATGACTGTCGGGACGATGTGGTGAAATATCAAGACCGGTGGGCATATTGCGCTGAATCTCCATGAAGTGATCGTATGTCTGCGGTTGATTCGGAATAGCTGAGTTGAGGTCCTTCTTTTCGGCCTGCTTGACAGGTGTTGATTGGCTTTGAGTCGTCAGAGTTAATGGCATGCTAAGATTCCTACCACCATGTAAGATAGACCTGGATCGAGCTTGTGTTGAACCAATACCATGCGGTCCGGGGCTCATTTCACCTGCCGGTGTAGCCATGGGTTGACCCCCAGTTGTGACCGGCATGGCCGATCGATTAACTCGTTCCCCAGATTGTCCTAGATGATCTCCTTTGTCGGAAACAGCTCTGGCACGAGAAGAGTTCGCAGCTTGATGATGCAACTTTTGAGGCATACTGCAGGATTGAAGTAGATTAGAAACTGAGGCATGGACAAAATTGAGAGAATTGTCGCGCAACAAATGCAAACGATGGGCCTCCAAAGTATTGATGAGGATTGGCTTCAATTTTTGATCGAAGTCGTCGAAGTCGTCGAAGTCGTCAATTTCATCAGGATCCGAGCAGAAAAGTCTGTACATGCTACCGGCGACAGCGTTCAAAGCTAATTCCCTATTTCTTATGACCCATGATTTAGCATAATCCTCGATCTCTTGTTTCCTCCAGTCGAAATTGCGGTCGAGCTGCTCATTTTCATCGCCAATTTGATGCATCACATAGTAGAGGAATTCTGGACCTTCCAACTGTATATCGGCTGCGTCCCAAAGCCAGTAAAGATCGTCCCAATTGGTGGGTTTTTTGACATCGCGAATCAGCTCCGGGTATATTTTTCTCAAGCTGGCAACCTTGGCATGGATATCGGCGTTGACATTAGTATGCAAAATGCGGTTGACTCTCTGGTTTTCAACAACGCCTCGTTTTTCAAAGCGGCAAAACTTGGTAGAGATATACGCAGGCGCAGTGACATGATTTCGAACCTGCCATATCGTAGGAGTAGTTGTAGTGGGTTCGGGTGCTTGGGATGTTTGAGGCGCTTGTGATGTTTCAGGCGCTTGAGAAGTCTGCCCAGCCATGATATAACTTCCCAGGTTGGCGTGTGGTTGATAATTGTGCTGTATCATATTCATATGTACTGGAACGACGGGGTACAATGGAGGTTGTTGATTCATTTCCACGGTCTGGTGGTGGATGAGGGTTCGATCTAAATTCGAACGTTGAATAGAGAAGAAGGGGTTCGGCACGTTTCTATCGTGGAATATTTCCTTTTCGATTCGTAAAGTCGACCCGAGACGATTGTATGTTTTTGAAGAGTAGCTGTGTAATTATTTATTGAATTGCTGAAGCGTTTTGAGAATGTGTAAAGGATGTGTAAAGTACTATTACCAGCAATAGCAACTTGTATGAAAGCTCAACGCAACAGTGCGACAGTAGATGACTCGTTTGATGCTACAATAGAAAGCAACGAGATGTAAATAATTGATTGTGACAATGTTGATTTTGTTTTGAGGAAAAGGAAAAGGAAAAGGAAAAGGAAAAAAGTTTGGGTAAGGGAAAGGTGAAAGAATGACGGAAGGAAGAAAGGCGAGAGGGTAAGAGGGTTACAAATTGAGAAGGTGAGAAGATGACTAGGTGACTAGGTAATAAACTCAAAAGGTGAGAGAGGGAGGTGAAGATTTTAAAAGAGGAGAAATAGGAGATATGATGATTTTATGAATCAAGAAAGAAAAATAAAAAATTGAAAAAGGCTAATAGGTTAGTCAGTCAGCGATAGCTTATAGATACTAGGTAGTTAGTTAGTAGGTACCTAGCTAAGTACTGACTGGGCTGGGTATACTGACTGTACTTGTGGATATATATCAATTCACTTTCTAACCCGAATATCACAACTTGCACCAATCGACCTACTTCACCATCAAGTAATTCAAAGTGAATATTATTATTATTCATTATTCCATCTCATAGGACACCGGTAGTCATTCATACCTAGGTAGGTAGGTAGCCTTTAATATCATATTATCAATACATTTCAAGCTCTGCTTTTATTATAATAGGATGAAGGAAGGAGCCATATTGAAATGAAATACAATACAAAATACAATTACTCATAATCAGAGTTTCAACTTCTGATTTTGCTAACCTTCAGTATGAGAGTAAGTACTTGTACAAAGGTTCAATAGATTGCTTGGAATTGTATTTGATGATGAAAATGTAGGCTGAAAGAATAATAAATTTCAAAGGAGGACAGACAGACATACTTCTTTTCCATCATTATAGGTAGGTAAGTAAGACTGCTACCCCCTACCTCATCTTTTTTACCCCCCAAACCTTTTCAAGCCCAATCATAATTAGCACCTATTTTTACCCATACTTCAATCCCATCAATCCATCCATTGATTCATTCATTCAGTTCAACATATCATATTAAAATGTGTGAAATAAAATGACTAAATAATATTGGGAACTTTTGGAATCATTTACAATGCAAAAGCCTAGTTTTTGGGAAGTTCATTGAGCATCTTCAATATCTCAGATTCATTATCCCCAGCTACTGCTCTTCCATTACTCCAATCCACAGTCTATGAAACCATTAGTCAAAACATCATACCCACGGCATGCAATAAAAATTGAACAGCATGGAACATACCAGAGGTCTTTGGAAACTATCTTCATTGGATTTGATCAATCGGAAAGCATCCACTTCGTTCTTTGCTCCTGTAATAAGACTGCTGACCTTTGATACACCCATAAATTCGAGAATGCTCCTTAGTTGATCTGGGGTTGGGGCAGCTTCGGTGACTTCCAGTTCAAATTCTTGTCTTTTAAAATTGGTTTGGGCAGAGTGATCACTAGCTTGATCTTCCGTAGCAGTTGCGGCGGCATTGGCAGATGCTTGCTTCAAAATGGTATGAGCTCTCAAGGAAGCTGGAGAGCTTGCCTTGTGGAAGAGAGTAACGACATCGAGAGTTTTATGCTATAGATGAACAATGTTAGTATCCGTTAATCTATAGTGAGGAATTAAAATATTCGGATTATTTGTTGCACTTACGAATCGGAACATTTTGATAGTTAGTTTCGATTGTTGGTGGCGATTATTGTTGATGTTAAATATATAATTGTTCTTCTTCGTCGAAATATTGAAGCTCGGAAAGTTGGAATGACGTTGACCTGTGCTTGACCTATGCGTTGCGGCTCCTTCTCTCTAACCTTTGATTATTTGTGGTGAATCCCTAATCCCTGCCGTTCATAAATTTTGTCTTGTTTTATCCCCCCATAGCAACGAATAACTTTTGATTTGTCGCGTAGAAATCACTTGAGACCTAAAATCCCAAAGAATTCAAGAACATCACAACTACTTCCGTACGAATCGAATTCCAGAGAATACCAGTTCAATCTAAGACATTTTACATTCTTTCTCCCTTACTTTAGAATTACATAATGCCGCCATTAATATTGCATAATGTTCCAGACGAAGAGTGTTATGTAGGTGAAGATGGTGTCAAAAGACCTTATGCTATGCTATTCCCTGGGTAAGCTTCTCAAGTCCACACAAAACAATGGAGAGTCATCATTCTGATTCGGATAGAAATGATGGACATCCAGGTGTATCGAGGATTCGAAGAACCGTCCCCGAGACAGGATCATTTGGTAAATCAACGAGACGATCTCGATCAAGAACTGGCACACCAGCTTTAAAAAAGGAGGATCCGACTTTGGCAGCTGCAGATGCAATTTTTGCTGCCACGTTCGCAAGAAGAGCTGCGGCTTCATCAGAAACAGGGCCATCTCAGCGCAAATCCTCCATACAACCTTCTTTGTCGCAAAACAATCTTCGAGATAGCAATGCATTAGCAGCGATTGATGGTAATGCCGGCCCATCTTCGAGATTTGTACACAAGGAGCCAACGGAGGTTATACTACGAGGTTTCACGCCAGATCATCAATGGGCCGCTATTGGGGAATATGAAAGAATCGCCGGCCACGTTTGCGAAGATTATCCTCGCGACCCCCCTCTCGATCAACGAAGATATAAAACCGACCTTCGAGATCCTGCGGTCCTGCGAAGACGTCCCATGACTACGGAGGAAAAAGCAAAGGCCTTGAAATATGCTGGTGGGAAGCACTGGATTAAGATAACGTTCGAGTCCGCGGAAGCCGCAGATGCGGCTATAGAAGCCTCTCCACAAGCAGTACTTGGTCACCTTGTCCACGTTGAACTCTATCGTGGTGCGCCACCGGCAAAAGATGAGCCGGGAATGTCCACTGTACCATCAGGCCGATCATCTCGTTTTAATGCTTATAAACCCCGCTTTGATCCCGGACCTTTACTCCCTGGCATCGAACGTCCACCTCAACAATCCGGTCTCACTCGCGCATGGACTACTCCTGAGATGTCACAAGTTGGTCGAAGCGTACATTTTGAAGACCGCGGGCAGTCTCCCGAAGGTTCTCAAGCTACCAGTCATACTATCGATACCACTACTTTAACAGCATCGACTATCACGGGTGGTAGTCTCGCCCTACAGCAACGACCAACCTCTTCAGGTTCCGCCGCCCCCGAAGCGCCATCTCTATACTGTCGCGGAATTCCCACAGCCCACCGACTCCAACTTCTCCCCGCCGATCAAGCTCTACTCCCTCAAAAATCGTACACGCAACAAGTATTATCCAACATCCCACTATTAAACTGGTTCAATGAGGATATCATTGGGGATACAGTACCAAGAACAGATACCGGCGAATTCGACTGGGCGAAAGCGAGTCTGTATTGGAAAATGATCTACTGGTTGGATACATACCTCAGCATATTTGGAGTAGCGGGGGGAGAAAAGGAAGATTAGAGAGAGGGGTTATTTGGGGAGCTTATACGAGTAGAGGAGAGGAGAAAGGGATTATGAACAGAGTGAGTGGCATTTGGGAGGATGAGGCATAGGAAGGACATTGATTGGAAAAGTTTTGAGACTATACTATACCCAAGATTGCGAAGACCTTCCGAGGAATGGTGTAGATGGCAAAGAAATGTAATAAACGACCAACAAGTTTTTAGGCATGGATGAATGGGTAGTTGGACGAAAGGAGTTCTGGCGCAAGATCTTCTCAGCAAATACAATACAGCATAAGAGTTTATTTTGTCATTCTATCATTCTATCAATCATCAAACATCAAACATCAAACATCAAACATCAAACATCAAACATCAAACATCAAACATCAAACATGAAACCAAACCACCGCCCATAATTCTCTCTTTCTCTTTCTCTTAATCTTTCTCTTTCCACTCTATTTTCATCAAGCTAGTCAGCACACCTCTCAAATCATCTGATGTGATACATAATTTTATATAACTCCACCCAAAATGAAAAAAAAATAACCCCCCAAACCATAGTACCCCTCATCCATCGCATATACGCATGCATGCAAGCTGGAAAGAAAAAAAGAAACAAAAACAAGAAAAAAAAATGGTTTAAAAAGGGGTATTTAGTACGCGTGAGACTTCATAATCGACGTGCTAATTAATCATTTCCATTCATTTTAAACATAATATTCATCACCCCATCTTTGCTCTCTTGTTTCTTCGTCTTGTTCGAGCTCGAGCTCGCTTTGGGGAGGAGATGAAATTTGCTCTTGCTCTTGCTCGTGCTCGTCTCCACGGATGGTGCCTTCTGAGGTCACGCTGCTGGTCTCTTGCGCCATGTCTGCTTCGGGGTCTGTTGATGGCCCTGCGTCTGTTGCCGTTTCTGGTTGTGTTTCTGCGAAGATTTCTGGTGAGGAAATAGGGGAGGTTACCCGTGAGTCTAGTATGATTTGGTCTTTGAAAATTTCGGGGGTGACGGAGCCGAATGCCTCGAATCTTGATCGCTCGCTGTACTCTTCTTTGGGAGATGGATTTTGGCTGGATATCTGACTCTGACTAGCTGGAGGTAATTCCAGCGGATCTAGACTTCTTTCTACTGGCTCGGGGCTAAAGGGCCTTACACCTCTGGAACGGTTCAGTATTCTCGTCTCCCGCTCAGAGAATATTGATCCATTGTCTATGTCACGGTCTGCGACTGCAGCTAGAGACTGATAATGGTTGTTGTCCACAAGCAGACTATCGCTACGTTTGTGATGTATCTTTTTGTGGGGCGCATCGGTAGCGGGATGTGTGGCATCCACAAGGATAGACTTTTGGGGAAGTATGCTGAAGATCTTGGATGGGCTGCCATTCGAGTCCGTGTTCGCAGAGGAAGGTTCCGAGGAGAAGAGATCTTGTCCATGTTCAAGGAGATCCTCAAGGCCGCCTCCCGTCCAACCTTTCCGTGCAATTGCTTCAAATATTTCCACTTCTGCGCGGACAAGTGAGGAACTAGCTTCTACAACCTTGGTACTGACATCTTGACAATCTCTCAATAACCCTCTGGCATGTTGACCGTGTAGTGTTGTAAGCCCATCAAGTCTCGTGGTCAACTCCACCAAATGCCCCCTAAACCCTCGCACATCTCGTTTCCTCTGTTTGTGTACTCTCAATCCTTCTTTCTCCATTTTCTGTATCTCTTTGCTCTTATTCTTCACTTCCTTCCGATATGAGACCTCCTCTTCCTCTACATGTCGACCCCAGTTGTCTAATTCATGCAGTAAAGGCACCTCAAACGATCGGTATACGCATTCTGAAAGTATTTGTTGATGGTTCGCTATCAACTGGTGTACCCCACTAGCAGACATCAAATGATCCCCGGTACAACTCCCCTTTGCTGTAAAACTGTTGCTAAGACTGCCACCGGGTGGAGCCAGTCCTTCGGACCGTGCCTCTTTTAATCGTGCACATGCTTCTAAAGCGCTTCCAAAAGCGGAGGCAGATGAGCTTAGCTCTGCGAGTGCTAGTCGATAGCTTTTGGCGGTGCTTAGGAGTTCCGAGTAGGCGATTTGGGAGAGTTCAAGGTCAGATTTCGTAAGGACTGCGTGTGGGGGATGGGGAGCTGGTGGAGGCGGAATAGCAAGAGAAAATGTGGAAGCTAGAGGAAGTGTGGAGGCGTATGAATAGGTTGGTGATGCGGGAAGCGGACGTTGTGAGGGAGATTTGGTTCGAGGTGTCGTTGGTGCCATGGTCATGCCCGCTTTGTTCATCAATCCCAAAGTGGAGCTTGAAAGAAAGTTATTGGAGGCTCAATGCGCGGGATCATTCAAAATGTTTGAGAGGTGTTGTAGACAATCAAGGTCGTACGATGTAACACATTAGATCCCTCAGAACAATCTCAACATAATGATTTAGAAGTTATGCGTGAGTAAACCAAAACAAGTTAACTTCATAACTTGGTATTGAGATACGATAACTACAATTCAGGACCCCCTTCATTGATAAGAAAGATGCAGGGATTCATTCAATGATTTTAGCGCGATAAGGCGGGGAGAGTAGAAAGTCCATAGGAGCTTTTTCTTGGACATTCATTCCACTTGCGTACCTAGGTATTTAGGTATTTAGCCAACCGAACGGGAACAAATCTCAATCTCTCATTTCATTTTCGGCAACTCTATCTACACCTCCAAATCTCCAAATCTACCAAAACTCCCTTCCACAAACCATCAACCACAACCATAGACCCCAAAATGCCTTCACCATCGGCTCTCACTATCCCCGCAGTCACCAAGCATACTGCAACTGTCATCATGGCGCATGGCCTTGGTGATAGTGGTGCTGGATGGATATCACTCGCAGAGAACTGGCGTCGTCGTCAAAAGTTCCAAGAAGTCAAATTTATATTCCCAAATGCGCCACCCATCCCCATCTCAGTTGTATGATTATCAAACCATTTTCAGCAAATCAGTAGTTACAAACACTAATGGTTCTTCCAGAACTTTGGAATTTCCATGCCAGGCTGGTATGATATTGTAAGGCGCACTGATTCCGTTCGTGCACGCATCCATACATGTCTTGCCCTAGACAAAATGCTTTTGCTGACCACAATCGATGCAGACAACTTTCAGTGATCTCCAAGCCGGGCAAGATGAAACCGGAATTCGACGCTCCCAAGCTTACTTCCACTCGCTCATCAAATCCGAGATAGAAGATAGCAAGATCCCATCCAACCGCATCGTCGTCGGTGGTTTCTCCCAAGGAGGCGCCATGGCGATTTTCTCTGGTATTACATGTCCAACACAGCTTGGAGGCATCTTTGGTATGAGCTCTTATTTGTTGTTACATAACAAACTTCAAGAATTCGTGGGCGCAGATGGAGGTTCAAACAAACAGACCAAGATCTGGATGGGTCATGGAGACTGCGATCCTCTTGTTAAACCAGAATGGGGTATTAAAACAGCAGAGGTGTTGCGTGGAGAAGGCTATGCTGTCCAGCTGAAAATGTATCCGTACGTCTACCCTTTTCATTTATGTGGTTGATGTTTTATGCTAACACCAAAATAGAGGCCTCGAGCACTCAGCCGATGTTTTAGAGATTGAGGACCTTGAGCTATATCTTAAAGATAGAATACCACCAATTGGGGATAAAGAGAGCGTATGACTGGATAAAGTCAACTCTGGAAATTCCTACAGTATAGCAGTGCTAGTGTGCTTCTTGCTGATAACAGTGATGGCGTGGCGTTGGTTGCAGAGAAGGGGAAATGAAGGCACGCGAAACACCATCACAATAAGATAATCTAGATTAGAATCTATCGAATCGGTACTTCAATAAGCCAAAAGTCTTCCCACAAGCCAGCGTCAATATCTAGATTGTTGTTCGGCAATTGCGTATCTCGTTGAATGCATCGTCCTTTCTTCACCTTTTTTTTCTTTTCTTTTTTTCATTTGAACGTAAATTACATGTATGGAAGCCGCTCTGCAAGTGACGGTAATAATATCGGTATATATCGCGGAATTCCAGTTCATGGGCTAGGTGTTAATGCTAATATAGCTTAAACAGCAACTCAAATAGTCGCCAACGATTACAAACTGGATAGGATAGTTGCTAAATCAGGCTACAGGCGTCCATGTTATTAAGCTGGGGTATCGCCCATATCCTCCCTCATCTATGGATTGAAGCTCTTCAATGAGAGGGAGGGCAATTTCACAGACCATAATGCAAAAGATTCACTGGGCGTTATGAATGTCGTCGAACAAGTGTTACGGGTGTAGAGGGATTGATACTGTTACCTAGTTTTAGCACCAAAATCCGATACCCTTTATATATACGATGAATCATGTACTGAGTATCGACCGCTTTATTTTTGCTGACTCTATGGAGATGTTTTCGATATACAATCAACAAGACGTGCAATTTTTATGATGCCCCTTCATCTCTCATTTTTATTATTCTTCTTGCCTTCTCTTCAAATTCTCGTGTTGCTTGCTCGACGAACTCTCTGTGCATCTCCTCGTATATCTCGTCATTATTCTCATCATCATCATCATCATCATTTCCAAGATCCTCAAGATAATCATTAATAAGTTGGGTAGCTCTCGCATTGATAATCCCCCAGCGTTTAGAAGCCAGCAGTTCGGTTTCGAGCGCTCCTTCATCCAATTCCTTCATTCTTTTTTCATCAAACGGATGCGTTACCGTCTTTGCTCCTACCCAATCGGGTAATTGTCTGTACATTATGCCCACCCTTTCCTCGAAGGCACTCTTGGTGAGTAAATACAATTCTCCAGAGAAAGGCCTATCTTCAATTTCAGGCGTCATCGTTCCTCTTATCAATCGGTCCAGAGTTTCACTCAAATAACTATCAATCGGTTCTAATTTCTTATATTTTTCGCGTTTCTCCTCTAAGTCGAAGTCGTCGAAGTCGTCGACCGCCTTGCCGATATGAGCCAATTCATATATCACAACTGCCATGTTGTATACCTCCTTCTTCAATCTAGTAACCACGGGCACCAATTTTTTGCCTTTCCGAGTTTCGGGCTCTACGTATCCAGGATCAGAGGCGAAACCCCCTCGCGGCTCCACAGACGAGACTCCAAAGTCTCCAATCTTAATGTGAGGATATCCGCCCTCTCTATCGGGTCCCCATTGCAAAAATACATTTCCCTCGTGCATATCATCTTGGAAAATAACAACGCGTCCTTTATGCTCAGAACGGGTATTGTAATCCGGATGTTCGTTATGCAGAAACGCCAATCCGCTACTCAGCTCATAAAAGCATTGCCAGATGAATAGCTCGGGCGGCTTACTCTTGTGAGACATAAATTCGCCCGTCAGGTTATCCATGCTACCCACGTCGCAATATTCAAAGTAAAGTCCCAGCGCAGGCCGTTCCTCATCATCATGAACAGGTGTGTATTGAACAAAAGCTTCGAGATTACAGATGTGCGGATGCCCCGTCCTAATATGTCGGAGATAAACCCTCGTTTCCTGATTTCTCTTGGCTCGAAGACTGCGTTGCTCGACGGATAGCGAGGAGCTTTTGGTGGCTTCGCTGGTGGGTGTGAGAGGGGGCGAACGAGCTCCTTGCGGATATATTTTGCTGGGATCGTACTTCTGGAGATTGTATTGGAGTTTCAGGGCAAAACGTTGGTTCGTGGCCGTATTGATGACCTCGCTTACAGACCCAAATCCTCCAGATCCTATGTAGCCAGTAATCTTGTGATTCTCGAAATTTAAGCCGTGGTCTGGTCGCCATTTGTTGCGTCGGATGATGATTTTCTTTTCGCGGATGGCTCGCATAAAGCTGACGGCATCGATTTCTGCTCGCCACCCGTCTCTGTGCCATGATTCCGTTGTTGTGGTTTTATTTTTAGTTGATTCCATTTTTTTGCAATATGTCCCTGCAATTGAGAAAGCGTGCGTGCGTGCGTGCGTGCGTGCCCCCTACATTTCCAAGTAGAGGGGGAATAAGGTTCGAAGTAATGAATGTGATATTCAATGTAACAAAGATTACATTACTTACATTACTAGAACGTCAAAGAAAACCAGAGTTTGTTGTCGGTACCATAAACAACATTCTTTGTCCGCGACATTCGGTCTTTCTCGTGAATACTATGATGGGGACAAATAAAGAAATATTAGTGGCTGGTTACAGCATAGCGGGACAAAGGATTATTGGATGAAGTAGAGGTGCACTTGCTTTCCACGAGGAGAGTATTCTGATCTCGGGATGGATATACGGTCTAATGTACTCGAGTACCACAGGCAGATAATAGTGAGCAGCTTGATGAGTGTAAATTCGCGTTTTTTGTGAAAAATTGTTCGTGGGGATTCGGGAGAAGCATAAAGATTCCTGTACTTTTCGAAATCTCGATATGAAAAGAAATATGCTTCGGAAAAAATTGGTCGCGGCTCGGGTTCAGCAACCAAGTAACCAAAAGATAATACGACACAGCATTTCTTTTCAAAAGTGGTTGATCTGATTGAAAGAATGAAAACAACAATCAATTAAAACTTATATATACAATGAATTTTTCGATGAGATCTCCCACACCATTAGGCAGTACCTAAGTGACGTTTATCGAAACTAGCGGGTTTATCCATCCTTTTCTCTGAACCTCTTGAATGCCCGCGAACCAAGCTTTTGCCAACTGCTGATACCCATAATCGGTCGGGTGCACATCATCCTTTAAATCGTCCAACGTGACATAGTCCATCATGTTAACAGTAAAGACCTTGTGGCCAGCCGCCACTTTCGATGCCACAATATCGGGGATCTTGGAGTTGAACGTCACCATTACCTCGTAGACGGAAGGTATCTTGGATGGGCTGAGTTGTGCTACTAGAATGGTACTGTTCGGAACCGCGGATGTAATCTCGTCGATGAGTTCACCGAGTCGATCGGGGGCCGTGGTGATATTTATACCTCTAGTCATATCGTTCGTGCCGGCCATGAGCAGAACCAGGTTTGGTTCCTCGGAGAGGGATAGCTGGGCATTTTCGGCCACATCGGATATGACGGCTCCGGGGTGTCCCTCGTTTTGATTGTTGGTCATGTTACCTGCTTGAATGGAGCCAACATATTGGACCGTGTTTCCAGCAGCAGTGAGTAGATCGAGAAGGGCGAGCCGAAAGCCATTTCCATCACTAGACAAGTAGCCGAATGTTATTGAATTGCCAAGCGGTTGCTATAGTAGTCAGTAGAAGAAAGGGTTGAGCTTTAGAAATGGGTGGGGAGTGGAAAACTGTGAGCAAGGACTTGTTGAGTGGATATGCATCGGGACTCAAAACTGGACTGAATAGCAGGGGCTTACAATTCTGAGGTTTTTGCTAGGCATCGTGCCATCGGATTCGCTTGACAGGGAGTTTGGAATTGTCAATGCTATAAGAAGGTTAGTCCAAAGAGAATGGAAACAACTTCCAGGCGCATAACAGACCATCAACACATGATAATAAGATGCCAATGCATATATGAACACAAAAAAGAAAACGCATTGTACCGTGACTGCGACAAGCATGCAACGGGAGAGACGAAAAAGCCATCGCGTCGCTTGACGGGATACCACTGCCTTTATATGGCGCTGGGAGGTAGTTCGCGCATCATCGAAACTACTGCGCAGCCTAGATCATGTAATATAATGAGTTATCAGGGATACCTGATCAGATAGGCAATTGATAGTCGAAAACGCTAGCATAATATTGAAAGGATGGATCCGGATCTTGTATTATCGCGAGTGATCGCTGTGATCTACTGTATAAAGCTTGTTACTATCGGAATGTTTTTATTGACACCGACAGGCGCGTAGACATGGCTATGCTATGGTTGACGTGAAGATGAACCGTCGTTTCATCGAGAACATCGAGCACAGCGCGGATGACATACTGTAGTCTCTCCACACGCTTTCCTGTGCAAATTCAAACGGGCAGAGGATTCTCGATATGCTCGATTCTATGCTCAGACGGAGCATTTGCATTGTTTGATGGCAGAAGGAGCCTACAATTACTCAAATGAGAGGTTCAACCTTTTAGGGTCCTTGAGTCGTGAAAAGCGGGTTGGTATGTCCCATATAATCACGTGCATGATCCGGATGTCCGTGTTGGGCGAAAGTAATCTCACGACTTGGAAAGAGTTTAAGACAGGAGTAGAACTAATGAAAAATTCTGCACTAAAACACCATAGAATCAATTGTAAATTTCTCTTGTATCAGATTCTCTACTTGAAAAAGAAATGTTGCCCTCAAACATTGTTCGAACTAATACGTGATCCCATATTCCGACTCATCATCTATCTTTCCTTCGAGTATCAACGATCGTGACTCGAAACCCTTTGCTCGCTGTCGGAATTTTTTGAAATATGTCGAACTTTCTTGATTCCCAAGCCAGTGCCTCGATGCATCGGATTCCACCTGGCAAATCTTTCGTGCCCAATATTTCTGGGGACGAGACGAGACGATCCTTTGGCCACCAATAAGCTTCAGCGTAGAACTGAACGCTTGCCTCAAAGGTAATTCGGGATAAGATCTCTTCAGGCATAAAACTGTGGAAGCGCGTGCTACAGAGAAGGGCCACTGCAGCTGCTGAATATAATATGCGACTTCATCCTGAGCCTAATGCACATTTTGATTTGACTCGAAACCAAAGATCGTGTAAGAGTACCGGAGAAAAATCCAATATTTGACGTCTCTGTTCTCTCATCCTTCAGAATCATCCGATTGTGGAAAGGTGTATGGACGATAGATGTTGGCCGCGCGAAATAGGTGAAGGAGATTTTCCGGAATAGTCACATTGACCACCTTATCTCTGAAGCAGAGTGTACAAATTGCAGTCGTACTCAATCGTCTTGGCTAAGGACTACAACGTCCCATCACCTCCCTAGTCATCTGGTTCATGAATCCTTGAACCGTATGCAAGAATTCCTCTCTTTGTACCAGATACGAATCCGAGACACTCCGATTAGGACTCGATATATCTTCGTCCGTCAACGTTCTCACCACAAACTGATTCAAGTGCCGAAGATTCCTCCTCAACGGGTAGAGATTCTTCTCCAGCACTTTGCAAAGATCACTAGGGTTCCCCCTATTCGTTTGGAAACATTGCAAGCTGAAGGAGAGACCGATTTGTAATCGACGTAATTGACCATTCGCGCAGGTGGTCTCCACGCATGATTTCAAGATATTCGCAATCTTTGAATGAGAGAAGCTGTTGATTTGAATCATGAGATCCAGAGTGTGGATATACTGGAAAGCTGGTGGTGGCTGTATGAATGTGTAGCCCAAGAATCGTATACCGTAGTTGCTGATTGACGACCGATAAGGCAAGAAACAGTAGAGTTCGTTCAAAACTTCTCGATAGATCATTTGATTCGTGTGAAGGATAGGCGGCGAGTACAGTTTGTGCTCTTCACAGCGAGATTTTGGGTGGTTTGGATCCCAAGCCGATGTCCAGTCGAAGTCTGCTGAAGGGTCGATTGATGGAATTAAGTGCCGGTAGATCATCAGCCTAATCTCGAATGGACAATTTAGGAGGGGAGGGATCCCGCTTCGGACGGGGGTAATTTCGTTCGCTGACATTGTTTCCTCCTTTATACCGGTATGTCTGGAAAACAGAAAAATGCCTTGGAAAGTGTAAATTCGTGAGTGGAATTGAGTCTCAAATATCAGCAACTGGGTCGGTACAGGTACATACTACATACCACATCGTCATTATCAGGATATGCATGCATGACGACTGACTCGATGCCCGGCTCCACCGTAAATCAATGATTACCGGTGAGTCTCCGTGGTGGAAGGATGAGTGGTTGTATTATTAGGTAAGGTGGAGAGATATTTGCCGTCCAGTCGTAAAAGGGGAGTGATCTACCACTCATCGTTACATTAAACATCTCATTTTTTACTGAATCTGACATGCTTTGCAATTCGACTCAAAACTTATCCACTCACCTCCTCCTGAGTCCTGACAGCTAATCGTTTATATCACACGTGATTGCCACGTGCAAAGAACGATGTGTTAAACCATCCCTTGATATAGTATTATTCGTCCAGTCTTCCTTCTTAGGTAGGTCTATAATTTAGTCCGGCATTCGTAAATGATCATCAAGTAATAAGTACTCGAGCAGAAAGAAATTACCTACCAAAATGCCGGATGGTTGAGCCCCTTCATATCAATATCACCACGTTTCAGAATGTGTTTCATGCCAAAAACTCCAACCACCCATCTCGCAGTCATCAATCAACAAAATCCCTCATATCCAAACTCACCAAGTCACAAAAACACTCAATAACCACTCTCCAACATTGAATCTTCCCCTCAAAATGACCCCCAACTTCCCCAACCTCCTTTCCCCCGCCTTCCAACCCTTCTCCACCTGTCCTCTCGACTCCACCGCCGATCCCTCCTCTACTGCATCTACTGATGCAGAATCATCCGGAACCCCCCGAAAAACATATCTTTTAGCCACAATATCCCAGAACATGACACTTTCCACCACCCCAACTTTTATTTGCACGGATTCTGCTGGTGCTTCGTTTGCGCTGACGATTATTCTTCAGGCGCCATTGACGCCTGCGCAATTGGAGGGAAGTGGGGGTGGTAATGGAAATGGAAATGGAAATGAAGGTCGAAATGGGTTTGATATTGATAAATTAAAGAAAGGGCATACGGTGGTAGTGCCGAACCCGAGGAGGCACGGGGTCAGAGAGGGAAAACAGGGGTATGTTAGGTGTACATGGCGGGATCTTGTTGTGAGTGTTTTTTGCTAATCTCTTTTGGACTATTGTTCTGGGGGCTAATAAAGGGGAAATAGATCGTCCCGACATCGTTGGATAAATTACTAGTAATGAGTGAAAAATTCGTCAAAGTTCGGGCAAATATGGTAGACAACATCCAAGAGGGTGTGGTAAACTGTCAGTCATGTGATAGGAAGGCTAGTGAAGAGGAGCTCTCGAGGTGTAAGGGATGCAATGAAGTTAGGTATTGTGGCAAGGTATGTCTTTATATATGAAGAGTTCAGTTTGGAGAGTTTGGGTGAGTTGACCACAAGTACAGAAATGCCAAACGGAAGGATGGATCGAGAAAGGTCATAAGAGTGAGTGTAAGGTTCTGAAAGTGATGGGTGGCATGGAACTAGAGGATTATATTGCAGGATGAAGTGAGGATTTTTAGTGTCCGGTAACCAAAGGGAAGCTGTGAGAGTTGCGGTAATGACTCTATTTTCTAATAGATAAGAAATAAATGACGAGAGACAGTAGGCCCGTAATAAAAGACAAATGGCACAAGGAAATACAATAAGAAAGACTCCTCAGCAATCCCATTCTTCAACCTCTCCAAACTCTTCATTACTCTTCTCTTTCTTTCTTCCTCCTGTAATTCAAGTTCCCGAATCCCCTTTTTTTTTGTGTATTGTTTCCTGTAATGAAATTTCGAAGTTCGGATAATGAAATAGACAAGATACTAAAAGTTGAAGAAAGACTCGAGTGAGTAGGTAACAAAATAAATGACAAGATGGCGCAAACACGAAGGACACAGATATTGTCTTAATCGGTCGATCCCGAGTATAGATGGAGTGGAAGTATGAATCTGACGCCCTTCATAGCTCTACTTAGACACTGATCCCATGTTTCTGGGACATATGCTTTATCTGGTCTCTTTGTCGAAGCCAGCCTTTGGATCCGACTCGAGCACATCCTGGATGAGTGCACTGAAATGGCGAAGGGTGATCATTCTTGATGTGAACGTCAAGAAGCTTCTTCGTGTCAAAACCATTAAGTCCTACTCGGTCGCAGGATTGTTTTGGACAGATGAATGCGGAGGCGTTGTGCTCATTTCGCATGTGCTGGGTAAGATCATCGAGAGACCTAAGATGCTGTTTCTGTGCTACATGATAATCATCACAACCTGTTTGTCGACAGCGAAATGGAGACAATTGTATATCACCGGTGTGAAATTCCATGTCAATCTTGTGGTAGTTTCTGATATGCTGCCGAAGATGGTCCTTCCTCTTAAACCCGTTATTCCCTCGATATCTAAGAGAGTCAGTAAATGGCTTTAATGATCCGTATCTGAACAGGTACGATAGGACTTACGTGCGACAATGGAGACAAGGATGTCGGGGAACTTTGCTCTTGTGACATGATTGGTGCCGAATCAAGTCATCAATTCTCCCGGTCGTGGTTACACAATCGGGATAATGGCATAGGTATGCCGAGTGTCCAGAGTTTCGACCATGCTGGTCGAGTTGTCCCGTATTCATAAATCCATCTCCGCATTGGTGGCATGCGAATATTTTATCTGAGTACCCGCTGTAATTGCCGGGATGAAACCTCCTGGTGTGGTAGGCACAGTGGCGCCCCCCCAAGCAGTCTGGGTCAGAGTATTGAAAGGCTTCATGACCGGTGGCAATGCAATGCTCCTTTAGATTTTTGATGGTTTTGAATCTCAATCCACACTCTAAGATACAGGATAATGGGAGATGATTGGGAGCTTTACTTCCACTACAGAAGACATTTGGGTCTTGGATGTATAACGAAAGTTCTGATACGTCAAGCGGCGATGAGCAAGTTGCGCAGGTTGTGATAGGATAAATAACCCCGTGGTACTTATGTTGCCTATTATCAATAAGTAGGAATAAACAATCAATGTGTTGAGGGTATATATGTACATACAGTAAAGAATGTGTCGGGTAAGTCGGTTGTTTATCGCCCGGTGCTGAGTGCATCGCCCTTTTTCTATGAGTTAGCATTTTTTTTAAGCCACTCACTCTATGCCGATGTCAAGCGCATTCGCAGCATCCCAATCAACGAGGCCTAGCCAGAATTCATCATCGAAGGTATGATGCTCGAGCGATTGGCTGTGACTGACATCCATCGTGTATGCAAGATGTCGAAAAGGGCGGGTGGTGTCGAAGTTGAATAAGCAGCGATGAAAGTCTGGGGCGAAAGAAGTAATTGAAGCGCAAATGAGGAGAATTTGGTGCCAAAACCCGATGAGGGGAGGCTATGATCATATCTTGGTACGAGAAGATTGCGTGTCGCTGCTATAAGAGAACAAACTCTGCGAAAAAGGGCGTGATGGGATTTGGTACGTGGATGCAAGGGTTACATGCAGCTTACTAGTATGATACGCTCGGTGAGCAAATGAAGAAATCGCTACAACTTGAAAGGGAGTGCGGTGGAAGAAAGAAATGGGCGCTGAAGCCTCAATTTTGACCTATATACAAAGTTTACATCAATTACTCGAGTACATGAAATACATACTGTACATTTGTTTCGTTTATCCCCACACGTCGCCAATGTCAACGGTCCCGGCCGAGCTCCAATTCACCGCATCATCCTCGACCTGATATGATTCGATCACATCTGCTTTTCCGTCATTTTCCACCACTATGAAGGCAGCTCCAATGGCTGTAGCGGCTATCGATTTGAACACTTTGGGATTTTGTGTCGAGTTTGACATTGCTGAAGGATGAACACCCATTACTTCCCAATCATTATGAGCTCCCATATACGTGTTTATTTTGAGACCCAGATGTGATAATGTGAGTGTTTCTCCCCAAGTTTCAAACCCTGTTTTTACGTCTCCGGTCGATTTTACATTTGTATAGGATGCTGATGCTGCGATGGGAACGCCGAAAGTTAGGGAGTAGTACGTTGCTGCATTTATCGACCAATTCGAAGCTACAGAATCTCGTTAGCCTTTACATGAGAGACAGTATTGTAGTATAGCTTACTGGTATATTCCCAGGCTGAGATAGCCATGTTACTATTCGTTTGTTGATAGTATAGGTTTATCTGATGTGCTTCGTTTAGGCGGTAGAATGGTTGCAACGCAAGGCCAGTGTTATCTATAGCACCGACATTCATCTGTGTCAAAGTCCAGCCTGAATTAGTCAAGTTTCCGACCTGTACCTGGTTATTCAAATCTTGGAAAGCAATGATGGTGGTGTTGCTACATAGGAGACACTGCCAGTACATGACTGAAACCCTCGAATTTTCGGAGATTATGAAATTCTCCGAGGACAGGGTTCCTTCATCCCACGAATCTGAAGTAACATTATAAATGATGTCATGAAGAAGATTGTCTGAATCTGAGTATAGTACAGTGATTTCCTAAATCCAAATTAGCAAGTGCTCATTTCCAGGAACGATGGCCACCTACGAAGGTATTTTCGGGCATCGTCACTGCTGCAGCAAACGATGAACCATTTTTAGCGGTAACAATCTGGCTCGTGGTCCATGTTTGAGTTGACGCACTGTTATGTGACTCCAGTATGTTTCCTTGGTTGTCTTGATAATAAATTCTAGAGTTGTTGACATTCTTGGACGCGTAGGAAACTGCCGCAATATTTCTCTGGAACGGAGCAATGGTTGAGCCCAACAACGAGGCGGTATTCGTGGAGGTGGGTGAATTACTGGACACTGAACTCGTTGGTGATGAGCTATTAGAGGATGTTACCCCGCCAGATACCTTGTCCATAATAGTCGCCTTGTTCTTTTTAGATGCAACAATTCCTCCAACAACCCCCGCGATGATTACAGCCATCGCAATGACACCCGCCACAATGTACCATTTCCATGTTCTTCCTCTCTTCTCCGTCTCCTCCATACTCTCCACTGTCTGCTTTTCCGTCGAAATTGGCTGTTTGATCAAAGATGCAGTGTGAAATGTTGGTGATGACGGAGCCTCGGAGCAATGACTGAAGTGTTGGGCTGACAGATTGGACGATGTTCTGTGTGATAGTGCGATTGGTGAAGGTGTGTAATTATCGAACGGAAGTTCCGCAGGGAAAACCGGTATTCCTATGAACTTTGTATTTTCCTGATAGCCATCCTCGTTCGCTTGATTTCTAACACACCCTACACCTGGTATCAATTTGCCCTGCTGCGGGCCATAATATTCAAAAGGTTGGTTTAGAACCTCCAACTCGCTGTGTGCAGACATCAGATCATCACGTAAGTTGCAAATTCGTATGTTCACTTTCCGAAGAAAAGAGAAGGGAAGGTATGTATAAAGGAGTTTCTTTCACAGAATTAAAAAAACACTGACACAATGCAAAGAGCGAACCACCGTAATATCCTTGATATTTTTGATGTCCCTCCATATCAATAACCCACACAGTTGATCACTTCGAGCGCTTCTCGAGGACTTTCGAAATGAAGCTTGGATCAAATTTGGACCCACACCTTCATAGAGAAACGAAATATTGTCAGAATGGATACTAAACTCAACCGTTCCATGCCCTAGCTACTCGAAATGATGTTAGACAAAGGCATATGGGAATGACGACTAGACCGCTCTCTGTATCTACCAGGGAGACATCGGCAAACTAATTGTGATACCGGAAATCGAGAGCGTTCAACCGATACTAAACTAGTTCGTTTGCCAGGAGCTGAGGCATGTTCCATCAATCGACCTCTGAACAGTGGGATGAAGTTGATTTAAAGGATATAGTGGTTCCACTTCGTAAATTGCTTTACTGAGTTAAATTTGATGTGGGGATCATGATCGTCAGTTTCGCAAAAAGTACCCCTGAAAGAAAGTGCTCTGTCGTAAACGAGACCGACGGTTAGATCTTTGGGTCGATTGAATTGAGCAGTGGTTCTCAATTTAAGCGCCGGGAATGCTTGCTTGCCAAGTTTCAAACTTTCAATGAAGGAGGTTTGACGCCGTATTTGGTCAAAATCCCTGTACCAACACAATGATCATTCTTATCAAGATTCTCCTGTAGTACGCGATAATGCTACACTGAAGCAAATATCGGGTGACTTAATCTATTTCCGTATTTCGAGACCTCTAGTTAGTAATTGATAACTCTAATTATAATCGTTACCAAGAACCTCCTCTAGTTTCACCCCATGTGCTTTCACAGTTGTTGAGCCATGCTGCAACGTGCACTTGAGGCCATGGTGTCCCCATGGCAGTTGTAGAATACTGGGCAATGTGTATAAGCTTAGGGGGATCAACTAGTCCAAAGGAGGGCTGCTGAATGTGTTTTGAATAAGCATGATTCAATAAATTCGTTCTCGCTTTTTGTGTTTTTTTCGAAAGGAACACGAAATCAGGATCACGTGACTAGTCCATATTGTTAATTCAACATTTTGGGACGGACGTGATGAATGTCTTCAAGGTTGATTTGTGAACAGTAATAAGTATCGGTGAGTCAATAATCAATCATAATTATCACTGCTGTAGGATAAAAGAGAATCTTTTTCGCTTTTCAAAACTACTCTCTGATGGTAGCAACTATGCCGGTACTAGTTGATCTTGCCAAACAATCACGAACTTCCTGCCATCCACTTTCGCAACTTCTTGATAAGCCTCAATCGCATCCGCAATTTTGACTTTAGACAGCGAATATTCCTCTGGATCTTTGATTTCTCCATCTTCAAACATTTTACCTAGCTTAGCTTAGCCATGAGACCCTTTGCTTCAGCCAAACTAAGGCTCCAGCTATTCACTCCATGCAAGCTTTGATCCATTGCCAGCATCTTCATGACATTAATCTTCACTTCGGGGCCGCCTCCCCTCATGTCAGAAATGAACACATATCTTCCAGTCTTTTCTAATATAGCAAGACTATTCTCCCTCAAACAGGGGATTCTACGCAGTCAAGCATGACGCTGGGACCTATTTCACTGTTCAACTCCAACACCTTCTGCAAATTCTTATCTGTTGTCACATTTACATCAGCGCCATTTGTCCTCGATGTAGTTATGGTATTGAGTCCTTTGGCCTTCCGATTTCTGTTGCGGCTTTTTCGACAGCTCCCTTGGCGCCACATCTCCGGCGCGTGCAGCAGCCTTCTCTAGCATCAAATAAACTGTTGAGTACGGAACACCAACGACTGCTGCCTGGGCCCAACTGAGAGACTTGGACTTAGTAGCCAAGTCTTCGACGGGTATAGCAACGTATTTGGCATGAGATACATCAATGGAGAGACTGAGTTCTCGACTAGAAGTGATGACTCTCTGCATGGTATCTTCTGGCTTCTCGATGGTATATTACATATCTCTGAGAGAATCTAACGACTCCTTGCAGCCAGCCTCATCTGCAGTAACAGCTGCATTCTGTATCTCTTTTGCGAGAGTAGTGATGACCTCCATAATCAAATATAGGTCGGTAAAATAAGGCGATAAATGGAATTAATACAATGTTTACCAATATTATCTGAGAGCAAGTGTTCTCTGTCCCAACCAGAAAACAAATGGATGCCACAATTTCGAATAGGAAAAGAGGCATTAAATCGATCAACATCGAATTTTCACGAGTGGCACAGCAGACACACTGGCTGACTTACTGAGCCGCAATGCAATTCTACAGTGACAAATATCCGAGTGGATTACCTTTCCGTTGACTGTTGGTTCACTGTTGGCTTACCGTATATATTTTCAGCTAACATGACTCGGAGACTTACAGTACCTACAGGGGTTATTCAACGAATAAAGGTTTAAATTCCCTCCGGCTTTGGGGGCCGAGATAAAATGAAGTTTCATTTTCGATTTTGTGGCTCGAAAACAGATGGCCAAGCCATATTCCGGGAGAAATCTAATCCAAGCCAGGCCCATATTCTTCGACACCATCCAGAAAACATGGAAAGATCACGATCTCTCTCCCCCCCTCCCCTTTCCCGAATCAAATCACCATTTGAACTTTGGAGTACTTAAGATGGTCTCCAATCACTCAGCACTTGCAGACTTTCACTCAAGGGACCAACACTAGTTCAAGGACTACCTCATACTAACGCCGGCTGGAAAAGCTTCAGAACTCCCACACAGCACTGTTCAAAATATCGCTCGCATATCACCAATCATGTCATGCCCTCGTCTACCTAAACCGGTAGACGACGATCGAGATAGTGGTGGAGCCGACATTGCCTTATACTGGTAAATAGTTGCAATAGCACTGCTAGTCAATGGCCTCTGAATCCACGCTCATCGACTCGTTTTACCATTGGTGCAGATAAAGGCTCATGCTTATCTGCTTCGTGAGTGAAGTTTCCCTTACAGTCTTCCAAATACCAGTAATAGTCGGCTTTCCATAGATCGGCTACCTAATTCTTAATCGGGAAAGCGATTGTCCTCTGCAAACGATTGTTCCCTTTCTATAATCTAAGAACCAAACGATTCTGAAAGTAGATTCTATTCTTAGAACTCAGCAATCTTTTTCAATGAATATACATTATTCGAAATGGGATAATCACTTGCAAAAGACAATCGCTTTCCTCCGACTGGAAATCAGATAGCTGATCCCTAGAAAGCTGATTATTTTTTATTTTTTTCGGGATCGAAAGATTGTTCGTAAATAGATATGCGATTAACGTTAATGGATGAATAGTAGAAAGTGAATAGGCTAAGAGAGGAGACTCAAAAGAAGAAAGTTTGGGGGGTAGTCGCTTGAATGCAATCTTTAAACCGCCTCAATTACATCATTCGCTTCTCCCTAATCTATACAACTTTTTCTTAATTTCTAGAACTTATACATGAATTGATCAATCGATAATCAATATCAGGGCCACAGTCTTGGACATTGTATTAGTCGATTCAGTTTAACCAATAGTATGATTATATGATCTCAAAACTTCAACATTAATATCTTGATTATCGTATCTCAGTACCAAATACAGGTGTATTGGTACCGATTGATTCCATCCATGATGGCCAGTGCACATGAATATCGGATAAGTTTTACAGTATCTGATACGGTAGATCCAGGTACGGTAGAGTCGCAGAGTCTCAACGGCATGTCCATCTGCTGGTTGTACGGCACGAACCTTTGATTAGAGGTACTTAAAGGGCTTGCAGACTATCTCCAATCCAAGAAGAACACGAAAATACAAGCAACATAACCGTCTGCATCAATAACCAAGATTCTCTCCTGAGGCCCCTCCCTCAGTACATTGATCGAGTTTACCTTTTCGCAAACTATCTGTACCCGTCCTTCATTTCACGCCAGATTTAAGTCATTCCTCAAGATGGATGATGCTTTCGAGATCGTAGATCTTCCTGATGGATACCATATCTGTGAACTCAGCGGAGACCGACGGGCAATCGAACCTCTAGTTGCAGCCATGCAACTGACCGTTTCAGAAAATAATAAGAACCGAAGGGGATCAATTTTTTACGCAGACCTGAGTCTGTCAGATCCATCAGGTAAAGACTTCGGAAAGAATATCATTTACGAGATGTTTTCCCGCGGCCTCCCCAACAAACGCCGCATGATGTCCTGCGAGATCTGCGAGACATTCATCAGAGACTTCGGCAATCTCTGCTATCTTTCCGAAGATGCGACTCTGGTACCGCTGGTATGGCCAGCAGAAGACGTTGTCCCGGAATACTACCAAAAAGCAGTGGCCAATGTCAGGAAATTGTTCGAAGGACGCCCACTCGGAAGGGAATTCCTAAGTCACCTCGATATTTACAATCACCAGGGAGCAAACTATGGACGAGGAAAGGCAAGCAACGACACGTATCGCCACATGGATGTCGAAATTTTGGGCAATGTTCGATCTCTTGGAACAACTCAATCAGAAGAACTTGGTCCAATTTTGGAGCAAATCATTGCGAGGAATGACGAGAAGACCATTTCTCGAGCTCACACTATGCTAATTCATGATGTCTTACCTCTTGCCAAATCCTACAAGACATGGATTACATGGCTCAAGAACGCTGCTACTGCTATCAAGGTACGAAATGACCTCAAGCCTGAAGATCGAAGAATGTTGATGGCTAGATATGCATTTCTAGCAGAGAAGGGATGTTTGCCTTCACTGTTTAATGGCGAGCTGGCACAATTAATGTCCTCTATCGAAGTCGAGGAAGACATTCCGTCAATCAAATCAAAGTGGATCCAGCTAGTAAACCCCCAAAAGGATATATCACCCGATGATATGGCTCGTACGACGTCAAGGTTAATGTCGGAATTGGGCTACAACTCAACGGACTTTGACCGGTCATTTATCAAACTCAATCAAATACAATCATCTGTAAGCTACATCCATTCAATGGGACTTCATCAATTACCTATCTAGTCATGCTAACCATGTATTAGGCATATCTATGGACAGATTCAACCAAGCCGTCCTCGATCTCACAATCCCCATTTAGGACTCTCGATACAGCTAGACAGAGCGTCCCAGCCACCCTCCGAGATTCTCTCGATCGAGCTCCAATCAAGCAGATCTGTTTCCGCAAGTTCTGCCTCCAAATCATCCCACAAATATTCTCGCTCTCCCTCCACATCACCGAAGAATCCCAACATGCGCAGAATTTCCACTTCCTTACCACCGGAGCAGATGATGCCACCAAACGGTCTAAACCAATATATTCCTTCCAGGAACAGGGAGAACACACCGCGGCCTGGTATAAAGCTACACATATCACTTCGCCGGAAGAAGTCGACTTGTGCAGTGGTTGGGTAAAGGTGAAATGCATCCTATCGTTTCCGCACATGTGGGCCTATTTCCAAGCTCATCGAAAGTCCATTTATCAATTCTTTGATCTGATGGTCGAAAGAGGGTTCCCGCACAAGGAATTGGGAATGCGGTTTTTGCTCGTGTTGGATGCTATTATGGATCGTCATGGAAAAGGTTCAGATCTTTCAAAGGAGTTGTTGAACGAGGATTTGGGGTATTTTAGCAGAGAGCAGCTTGAGGTGTATAGGGATGGGAAATCGATTCGGGGCTCGCATGTCAGTGGGCATGTTGGTGGTGTTCCGGTGGAGGACGGGAAGTTTAGGAAAGTGATGCTGGGTGTTAGGTTGAAGAGTGGCGAGTTTGTGAGGTATGAGGTTGTGCAGTACAAGTACTTCGTGGGATGAATGTGAACTTTTATGCTGTTGCACATCATGCTTTTAATCTAATATTTCGGGGAATGCAAGCGTGAAAGGTATACTTCTACTTTGTATCTTGATGAGATGTCTATTTTTGTGTGTAGATGGTGTAGTTACGTGGAGGGAGCTATTGACTAATTACTCCATTTGGAACTAAGAAGAATGAGACAAGGGAAGAGTTTTGATATATTTGTTAGAAAGTCATGTGCACGCATATACTTCGGGTATATAGGGCTACCTCGCTTACACTTACCACTAGCGTATTCTCTGTTTACATATACGCACACTAGTACTACTATAGCTTAGATTATCACTCTTAATATAATCTACATCCTTGTACTTCTCACAATATTATATCGTTCAGAATTTACTACTTAGTGCTTGCTATTGATGGATACATTACAGTCATGATATGAACAACACTATTGCATTTCGCAAAATTTCAAGATAAGAACCCCTCAACGCCTAATATCGACTCGCTTTACACAAATCTGCCTCCTTCCATCCTCAAGTCTTATTAGACTAGCGCTCATCGAATCCAAAATGTGCCTCCCATACAAGTCAATCCTGACAGATCAATGCATAACAACAGCCACATGATCATCCATATATTTACTAATATCGCCCAAGCCAATACTCGCCAGGATGGAAACGGCTCCAAAAGCAATACTAACATAGTAAACCCACGGATACGCACCCGCATAAGCTTCCTGACCCGCTCGTACGACGTCGTGCCAGATGGTAATATTGTTACCGACCAGGGGGAGAATATCGTCGAGAAGACTGGCGCTCGTCAATTCCGCAATCTCGCTGATGATTTCCAAGTCGAAGATATCGTTTGCGTAGCAGGCCCGAACAATCTTGACGGACAGTGCGGGGACAAATTTGGTGAGGAATACGTTATAATAGGTTGTGTATCCGATGGCTCCGCCCACTACACGGATGGCGAGGGTAAGTGCTGCGATTGTGGCGATTAGGTCGTCGGGACAAATGATGGTTGTGATGATTGAGGCGGGAACGACGATGCCGCCTGCAGGATCGGGGTGTCAGTATTACCCTATGAAGAAAGAATCTGAAAGAAGATGAGGAGTTGAAGCTACATTAGGAGATGAAAACGATGCTTTTGAGATCGGGGAATCAAATTGGGTGTTAGAGAGTGCGAATTTCATGTTGAACTTACCAATTCCCAGACCTGCTACTACGAGAATACCGTAAACAGCGTTGATATTATTGAGATTTGCAGTGGCAAGGGCGCCGCATCCTGCGGTCATCATGCAGGATGAGATAATCATAAGCATACGAATTCCCCCCCGAAAGACAGATAAGAGCCAAAGAACAACGCATGCACCAACGAGGATGGAAACGCCAATTGGAAGACCTCGAATTCCGACACCAACTGGATCATGTCCGTAGACATTGAAAGCTTGTGTGGGCCAGAAAAGGAGAACGGAGAAGAAGTTTGCACCTGAGATGAAGGTGATGACGAGGGTGAGAGCTAAGATGCGGGGTTCTTTTCGGAGACGAGAGGGGAACATGGGATTTTTGGCACCATAAACTTCCCAGAAACAAAAAGCGACTATGAATGCAACGCCGAGAATGAGTGGGACGAGTACATGTGCAGACGACCAGGCGTACTAGTTTTGGTCGTGGTGAGCACATTGAGATAGGCTGATAATGGGACTACTTACCTGATATCCGCCCCAGAGAAGACCAGCAACGAAGAGAATCAAACCAGCAATGGACAGAAACCCGCCAACAAAGTCGATTTGGGATATAATCTCCTTGCGTGAGAGGCCGGTTGAATTAACTCGAGGAGGTGGGAAGTAAAATACGGCGGTTATGATAAGTCCAATGAATGCCCAGAGACCACAAAATAGACCTACATATCTCCAGCTGGAATGTGATGCGATCAATTGACTCCAGAGTACAGCTGGCGTGAATGGTAAAATAGTGAAAATCAGAACGGCGACGTATTTCCCTCGCTTGGCGGTTGGAGCAAGTTCTGAGGTTGCAGCAAGAGCTGTTAACTCATTTATACCAGCGCCGGCGCCAGCAATAGCCATACCACCTGTGATGACTTAGTATGATGGCATAGAAAGTCAATAGTATGAAACTTACCAATGAAGATGTTCATGGAATGTGCCGTGGAGCAAACGATCATTCCAATGACGATCAATCCCGCTCCGATGAGAGCAATATATCGCCTGCCAAACAGATCCGACAAAGCTCCTACGAACGGACACACTGCTGCCAAAGCGAGTAGGTTGGACAACACAAACCATGTCCATCTATCTGCTCCTCCCAAGTCGCCGTAGATATAAGGTGGGATACCACCTAGCTGCTGTTAGACCAACGCCCCTTTCGAAATAACAGAATCGCCTACCGAAAAGATATACTGGTATTTGAGAACCTGTCCATAAGAAAGCCATGGCAACCAAGGACATCAATCGATGTATGGTCATCTATTAGGTACATGTTTAGCTACGAACTTTCGAAGATATATGCTTAAATACCTACAGGTGGTTCGTGATCATGATCTTCATCGTCCCCGTATGTTCTCAATCCATCCGCCTCATAGTAATGTGTATTTCCTGGTACCTGTGAAACAGTGCGAATGACTTCCAAATGGTCTACTGTGCCAGCCCCAACAGGGCCAGTCTCTTTATCCAGTGAGCCTGACATTGAATTGTCTGAGTGATTCTGAGGAGGAAGATCATCTTGACCCATATTGAAAGCGAAGAGAAAGATATTGAGGTTGATAACAGCGTCACACAGTGAAAAATGTAAAGATTTATGCAGTGAAACTAAAAGAAGAATCTGGAACAATGAAAGAGAAAAACATGAGAATCTTCATCTTCTTATTCCAAGGATGTTGTGCAATCTCTATATAGGTACCTATCTCAATCCAAACTCAGATAGTTCGTCAGGTGTGTAAGCTTGATTCCGTACAATCCTTGCGAAATGTAGTCCTCCAAGTTAAGAAAGATGGAGCGAGGACCCAGATACGTAGGGGGAAGCCGATTTTAGTGGCTTTTACCCCAATGTCGAGAAGATCCTCATTCGATCGGTAAATTTGTTAGCGCGTTTAGGAGCTTTTTCTATCGATTTCTTTTACGCATTTCGAATTGAGACCTTTCCTCTTCAGTATTTTGACCGAGGTATTTTGTAACGCGTTCTGGGAGCTTTGACTAGGTTCCACATGAATCTGCGCCAACGATTCGTGAAATGCATTCCTTTAGAATGAGGGGTGAAGGGAAGCCAGCCCACTTCGCCTCCGTAGCGTCGGTTCCCTCCCCATGTTGATCATTTCTCCAAATGATAAACCTCTGTAGAAGCCACCCAATCGAATGATGGATACGAATTGCATCAAAGACGTTTATTATCTTACGCCCCCAACAGACACCAACCTAAAAGTTTGTACACCCCAAGGAGATTCTCGTGTCCCGGTACCTTTTAAAATCATACCCTGCCTATATGCCGAAAGGATTCCATCAAAACAACCTTTTGTTTGTTCCCCAGAATCTCTGACCCCTGCATTGACAAGGGACCTTGTTGTTGCACAAGGAGGGTGAAGAACTTATATACCAATAGAACTCCATGTAACCGCGCATCGTCATCAATCGACCATGATGTCAATGTTGAAGGAGTTACATCCCGTAGAAAGGGTTCTCGAAAGGGTTCACACAAACCCCATGATAAAATGGTATTAAAAGTGCAGTTCGAATTCGCCAAGAATATGTTTCTTGAATTCGACCTGACTAGTGTTCTTTCAGGTGTCAACAAATATACACGTGCTCGAAGCCATTGAAATTAGCCTTGATGTTCGGAGGAAAGAACCCAAAAGAAGAAGTTCATACATGGGGTGACGGGTTGTAACTTGTTAAGTGTTTCTTATAAAAATCCCTCGGTCAAAAATATGGAATATCGCGGGGTAAGTAAGGACTGACGTGTGGACATAAAGTGGATTGAGAAACAGCACTAAAGTCTTAGGTCCAAGACCAAGGCCTTATCGAGGATGGGGGAATGATGGGGAAACTGGGGAAACTGGGGAATGTGGAAACAAAAAATATCTGTATTTGAGTAAATTGTTATGTTGTTGTTTGGGTTGAATGAAGACGGTTCAGATATTGTAGTCTCTCAAATTATCAAACTAATTATCAAACTTATTATTAGTGTAGGTAGTCATGCGAACCCGTCTTTTAAATTGACGGTTTGGAGGGTCGTGATTGAATTAGTCCTTAGGATCACGTGAACTAATTCAACTGGTTGAAGTGTTATCAGTTTCTCGAAATTGCTTGAAGAATACATTATCTTGTGAAACCCCACTTACTTGTACTCAAACCGTCCATCTATTGTGGATTGTATCTTGTATTTGATTGTATATCCCACAATTACTATGGTCGTCCGATGACCAAATAGTGTAATAGATACCTGGTACTTTGTTGTACTATTTTCCAGTTTCATCGTCTAGGGAGTGTCTACAATTAGACAATTAGTTATCAATGCCTTGAAAACTTCCCTTTAAACTTCTATTTCAAGTGTTTACATACCTGGTCCTCTGAGTGTTTGGTGCTCGTAAATTGTTGTCGTCAAGATTCAATTTGGGGTGTAAAAAATTCTGTAGGTTAGCCTAAATGACTTGCATTTTACTCGAGTAACAGACGATACATTGCCAAGGCAAGACTTTCGAAAGAATTCGCATATTTGCCAATTTGATTTTGCAGTTTATTTGGTAGAAGCTACGTTTGTTGGCTAACCTTGGGCACCGAGGTATTCAAGGGTTGGTCTAACTTTCGAACAAAACCAAGTTACGGATGGCAAACCGATCAGTCGCATTTTGACGAACGTTGTGACTTTGATGGTTGGTTTTGTGTTGGCTCGGTTGTGAAAGCAGACTACCTTACACGCAGACTTGAGGGGCAGGTTAATTCATCACGCATGTATTTCCTGCGAATCATAAACGGCTCAAAAATGATCACATGTCACACTCGAAGAGTACCTCATACCCGCTAGACTACTGAGGCGTTATTCTCGATCTCTAACAAGCTGACACTAGTCAGAGAGACATGCGGACAGGAAGGCTGTAGCTTACCAAACATCACATCCCGATTCACTCACACGTTGTATGTGATTCCCTGTTAGGAAATTTTTGTATATGTTGATTTTCCCACTAGGGAAATGTCACAACGGACACCAGTCTCGATACCCGAACATGCGACAATTCTATTGAATTCCAACCCCTATATCGCGAATCGCAAATCGGCCGATAGCTCTAAAACAACCTAAGAAAACAATGAACAGAATCCTCAGTGCGAGAGGGGAAGGTCTGAAAACTTGTTGGCTCAATAATTTAATGAATGCTGATAGAATCAAAAAAAGCCTCGCGACATCTTGAAATTCATCTCTCTACCAAAAACGCTTGATCGTTTCAGCGCCAATTCCGCGCTACCGTGCAAAGTAACAGTAGTTTTCCATACTGGAAACCTCGCAGTTCTTTCGTTTAACCGTCGATCATGTATATCCGCCCACTAATATGAGACGAGTTTAGGTTTAAGTCATAGCATGAGTTCTTGTCCATTCTTTAGCAGTCGCAATTGCGGCCGGCTCGTCATCCTTCCATCTCTTTGCTACATCTGGAGCTAAAGGATCGTCTGGGTTGGGAGCACCGAGGAGAGCTTGAATTGAGAGGAGGATCGTTCGAATCTGGAGTGCAGGAGACCAGTTACCTGTACCAGGCGAGATCAGTCTACTGCGCACGGAGGGTAGAATCGCGGCTTGAAATAAAATGCCATACCTTTGAGAACGTCTAAACAGATTCGGCCCAGCTTATCAATGTTTGGATGGTAAATTTTGGTGAGAAATCTAATCTTAGGCGGAGTCATCGGATAGTCATCTGGTAAGAACAATTCCAGTTTGAAAATACCGCCTTTAAACGTACATCAGCCTATTGAATTTCGCAGACATGCTCGCAAAATTACCAACCTTCGTATGGGGATGCGGAAGGACCGTGTATCGAGACGTCGAAATATCTTAGATTATCCTCATGGGGAATTGCACTGATGCCTGGCACACTTTATATATTTGTTAGTTACAGCATGATCCAACTGTAAACATGGACTAACGGTTCTTTCATCAACCTCTCCGTCTCCTTGACGATCCGCTTTGGTAATGCCATGTTGACAAGCTGTTGTACTGCTTTGATCTTAACTGAACTTTCGTTTACTTGAAGTATTATTATATGCGGTTATTGAATTCCAAAGGCTTGAAAGGCGCCAATGAAGGTAGTTTTTGCGTACTCGTGATGTTGATAAGAGAACCCTGGAAGTACCTATCGTTCAATTCAGGTGGTGGGGTACTTTATCAAAAAGGATTAATCAGGCTAGACTGTATTGTATTGAAAAATGAAAAATTCCAAGGAGGTCGAAAACTTGAGGGAGTAATTGTATTGAATGGCCGTGGTAATGTTCAGTTGGGTTTTGTTATAATTGGCAAAGCGGTTGTGTTGTTAGAAAGAGTGCAAGGGCTCGATAGCAGGAAGGAGGCAGGCAGGGGTCAAACGGCAACTCCCGTCCATCGATTTGACACTAGTAAGATACCATCTGGGAGCTTAACATCGCAATTGGAAATATCCTCATATTGTTATGCCCTTTGCTTATCTTATATTCTCTTCTTGATCTCCCTCTTCCACGGCTTGCACTGTTCATCAAAGTCAAAAGTCAAAGTCTGCGAAATGCCCATAGTCCCTTTAAATAGTCTTTCTTAAAATTTACATACTTCGAAAGTGATTCTATGATATCAAGAATGCGAAAACGCTAGTATTAGGATGATGGATGAGTCGAGAAAGGGAAAGTCCATTAGGTCTGCATTTGATAGTAGTACATTTGATGCAGATGTGTCTATACATGTAGACCGGAAAGTTGGATCGGCCACTATATCTCCTTCCGGGCGAGATGTCGCTCTAGCATCGTGAGTAATTCAAAGACCGCAATAAGTGAGGTAAACTAACAGTTTTGGCCGTACAGAACCGATGGCCTAGACATAATTGATCTCGATTCTCCACTCAACCCCCCACGACATCTTCGTCATGGCCTTCCATGGCTTGTGGCCGACGTTCAATGGTGTCCTTTCGCAGCTCGTGACTACTGGGTGGTTAGCACTGCTAATCAAAAGGCTCTAGTATGGAATTTAAATATGCAAGAGGACGCCTCCCATGGCGCAATCGAGCATACACTACATGGCCATACAAGAGCTATTACGGACATCAATTTTTCAGCACATCATCCAGATATGCTGGCAACATGTGCTGTTGACGGATATGTACATTGTTGGGATCTGCGGCGACCACGACAACCCGTCCTTAGCTTTTGTGATTGGTTTGCTGGTGCAACCCAGGTCAAATGGAGCCGGCAAGATTCGCACATCTTAGCTTCTTCCCATGATAGATGGCTACGGATCTGGGATGATAGAAAAGGTGCTGTCCCATTAAGATCCATTAATGCACATGAATCAAAAATATATGGTGTTGATTGGAATCGTACTCGTGCCTCAAGCTTAGTTACTTGTTCTTTGGATAGAACCATCAAATTCTGGGATTATGAAAACGAATCCGAGGTTCCCGAGCGTACCATACACACCGGGTTTCCAGTCTGGAGAGCTCGACACACACCTTTTGGTTGGGGAATCCTAGCTATGCCTCAGGACACTCCTGGGGACCTTCACCTTTATGATCGACGTATTACAGGTGATAATTCCACTGATACCATCACGGAAGCAGTCATTACCTTTCCGGGGCATGGGAATTCCAAAGTCAAAGAATTCCTCTGGAGGAGTCGTGGAAGCATCACAGACGAGGGAGAAGATAATAGAGAGTTTCAATTAGTTTCGTGGGGCGAGGACAACCAGTTGAAAATGCAACATGTGGACCATGATACACTTGCGGGCGTTGGCTATGTGAAAGGGAAAAAGGTACACGGAAAGCTCAATCTCACACGTAAAGGAGCAATCTACAAGACGTTTCGCACAACGGAAACATCTGCGACCGAAAAGAAAACTGCCACAATTACAGGTCCTCGACCTGGTAGTACCGGTCTGAAGTTAAGTGCATTGAGTGTTGGAATGAAGAAAATGTCTCTGCCTCATACTACTCGTACTCACACCACAATCCGCGCCCCTGCTATGAGAGGCAAGGAAAAACCGGCGAAGCCAGAAGATTTGAACCAATCCCAGATTGGCTGGATGAGTGGAATAAAGTTCTCGAAACCCGAGAATGGCTCCATGCGCGGAAAGCAATCAACGCCGAGAAGAATGTCTTTGCTGAGTCCTGAGTTCGAAGAGGATGGTGATTGGGACGAACCGGAGACTTTACATGATGAAATTATACGCATCAATGACCAGCTTCCAAAGATTACATTCGATGATGTTGATATGGATCAGAGAATGGTCATTGTCTCCATGAATGGACCATGGGGTGAAGATAGTACACCAATCTACATAAATACGACCATATCATTTCCAGACCAGTACCCGGAGAGCAAAGCCCCCACATTCATACTTGGCAAAACGTCCCTCATGCCTGACGAAACTTACAATAAATTGAAGAAGGAAGTGCAACAAATCGCAGCAAGCTTTGTAAGTCGCAAGCAAGGCTGTCTTGAAGCGACTCTATGTTATCTCCTTGGAGAAGTTGATCTCGAGACAAGTACCATATTTTTTCATGATATAGATAGTCTAGATGATGATGATTTAGATGGTCTTGCCGATGAAAGCTCAAGCGATGAAGAGGATAGCGATATTCCTCCGGGTGCCTCGGCAATGATGTCGCAAGAGCTTGATTCCAGTGCCACGGCGGAAACATTGATCAGTATACCAAGAAATGTTAACGTACCACTCCCTAGACTTTGCGGTGCTCGCTTTGCAATGAACGGCAAGCTTGTGTGTTTCTTTCCGCCAAAGGAAGATAAAGTAAAGTCCTTACTCGAGAAGATCACCGACTCTAGAAATTCTCGACCGAGAGGCGAACCTAATTTTGATGCTTTTGGTCGATTGGGAAACAATAGTTCGCCCCAACCACGCATCAAGACCACATCAGTAACTGAAGATAGTAAAGCTGATTCTGAGTTGTCAGACGAGTATGATTCATCGAATAGTAGCGATACAGATTCATCACAGTTCCGCATTACTCGGTATCCTGCAATGACAGCGTACTGGCGTCGATCGACTCGCCGATTCACCATGAGAGGGTCGCCAACTATAATGTCACAAAGATCAGGTGGAACTGGGACCGGAACTGGGACCGGAACTAACACAGCCACTGGGACTGTTCTCAGCAGGATTCGATCCGTGAAGCCTAAAAACGTCATATCATTATGCGATGTTAATGATCTTCTCCCTGCAAAGATCTACCTTGCAGAAGAATATGCCATTTTTGGTAAAGGTCCAGATCTTTGTGAGGAGAACGCAAGAATTGCTGATAAGCACGGACACTCTAAGTTGGCCGACGTATGGAAATATGCCGCTATGCTTTTGCAAAATGATATTCCGCTTGAAGTTCTCGAACAAAGTCAACGTCGTGAACCTGTCCTGGTAATAGCCGAAATTATGGCAAAAAGACACCGTCGTGACAGCGGCTCGGATAGCGGTATCGACGTTTCTCACGATGAACGTTGTAGAAATGGCAGTTTGTCCGGTAGGGTCAAATGGGGAAGTAGCCCCCTTGCCAAGCAACTGATTGGGGACCTCTTTACCCATTTTGAGGAGCTCCGTGACATTCAAATGTTAGCAATGCTATCCTGTGTGTTTAGCGAGCCAATCGCCTCGGGAGCACCATCACACGCTACAAATGCTGAAGTTGGCATAAGTCAGCCGCAGACAGCCCTTTCTAGGAAGACACCTGCCTTTTCTGTTGACTATTTCCCCAATAATGGGGCAGCTTGGAGTATGTATCAAAAGACTCCGATAGACTCTGCTGTGTCAACCCCAAAATTGGCTAACACGCCTTCTGGAATATATGGATCTATGGGGTCTTCCACTGGTATTTGGGGCAGTGATCCTGCTTCGGCATCGTACTCTTGTGGCGATACTCCGCCGCTGAGGTCAAACAGAGGAAGCTCAGAACATCTTCCTCAACATACACAAAGTCTTTCAACTTCTCCAGAAAATCCGAGAATGTTCCGCCGTGGGAACTCGAGTCTTGCATCAAGTTTTGCCGCAAACTTTTCACGTCCATTTTCTACGATTGCATCATCTTCGCCACCGAATCCACCACCAAGTCGAAAGCGAACTAGTCCGGTTGAACATATGCTAAGCTTAGCTCCTAGTGCTATTACCTGGGGAAATACTACAGTCCTTGGTAGCGTCAAAGAGCAAGTTGGCACGGAACAACTAGCGTTTTCAGATGATGAAAGTACAATGGATGATTTGAAACCAAGTATTTGCGTTGGAATCAAGATGACAATGGAAAACCAGAATGGGTTTGATGACGAAGGATGTATGGGCACTTCGTTATTGGATAGTAGCCACACCGCGCGTCACATGAGCTATCGTCAAGCCTATGCTGAATTGCTTTATTGTTGGGGACTTCCGTTGGCTAGATTAGAAGTTTTGAAGTATAACGGACTAAGGGGCCATACTCCCGAACTGGATATTCCCGACAATAAGTCATTTGTAGCTTCGATAATGTCTAATGATAGTCATACTATAATCCACGAAGCATCGCCTCCGTCTCAAATCGTTCTAAGCAAGAGAGATGAGCACTCGCCATCAAATGATCAAGGCTTAGACATTGCGGGTTACTGCCTCAAGCACGAAGCGCGTCTGGATCCTCTCCGCTCGAGTTCCATGGGCGGTGCTGCCGGACGTTGTGAACGCTGCAAGACTATTCAGCGCCAGCTTCGTTGCTCAATATGCACCGAGCCCGTCAGTGCAGTCTTCTTACCATGTCTGTCATGCGGCTGTGTAACGCATCAACATTGTTTGATCGAATATCGTTTTACCGGCAATAGCGAGTGTCCTGGTGGTTGTGATTGCGATTGTGGGGAGAAAGCTAGTATGGGACTGATAGAAAGTCTAGGTGTCATGATTGAGTTTATGCGAGCACTAGAGCGAAAGAAAGCACTTACTGACAAGGAAGATGTTGACGAATGGGATGTGCCAGTTGAGGAAAAAGATGATTGGGAGAACATCAACATTCCTTCTGGTGGTTTGGGAAGAACCCATTCTACAGTGAGTAAACGAATTGAACAAGTAAGAAGTTCAGATTGGAGTGTGAAGAAGAAATTGAGTAGTCTGAGAAAGGAGGAGAGTTTTTCGTATCTTGCTTGAATTTGGCGTTTCAGGACAACAATGTAAGATCAAATGGAGGCTGAAATATCTTTTGGATATGTAATCATAGTGTTTCACATTGAAATGATTCAAAGAAGCTCGAGGGGCAGTTTTCTTTCATGAAAATCTTGCTCGAATATTCATAATCGGCTCCATAGTGCAGAATACTCGAAAACTCCCCGAACATTCACTCAAGTGCAATCACTCCCGAATCCCCACATCTGTACGAGGTTTAATATCTGGAGATCTGGGCTATCCTAGCCGTGTCCTTTTCTTTAATAATTCAAACAAACTCTTGACTCGAATAACAATCACAAGATGAGCCTGAAATCGTTCCTATCCCGGCTACCAGCTTACTCGATGGGGTCGCCACCGGTTTCATCAAGCCAAAGTCTGGGCCATGCTAGCCTTGTTCCCTATTCACCACCCGAACAAACTCTTTACTGGGATCACATTGAGAAGATATGCTTGAAATCGTTCCCATCGCGGGTACTAGCTTTCTTGATGGAGTCACCACCGGCTTTATCACCCCTAAACTATTTCAGGGCGGGAATTATGGTGCTTGAAAAACTCAGGTACTGCCATTCTCAATTTCCATTATTGGATCTAGGATTTGAAGATACGAGCGGAGTTTCCGGGTCCTACGTATCTTATGGGTGGGGGCTGATGACCTTGCTCGAAACGATTTTATTGATTGTCACTTTTGTTGGTTGTGTTTATCTTTTAAACGTTTGTGTGGAACTTTGGAAGATCATCAGGAGTGAAAATCAAACTCATAAGATACAAAAGAAAGCATTCAACCTTCAAGCTGACCGAAGGGAGAGGGATCGCAAGCCACCCCGAAAGTGCAAAGTTTGTTTAGAATTCTTGGGAAGAAAAGCTTTTCAAAAACAGCTACTCTGGACATACAAGCGCAGGATGTGATAATTTCACAGACTTGTGCTTCCATTGCTTGCAAGAGAGCATGGAATTTACGATGGGCGAGGGGAAATACGTTTTAAGATGTCCAATTTGCTCTCAGGAATTGGAACAGTGGTTCATACAACTGCATTGTACAAAAACAATGTTCTCAAAGTAAGATTACATTTCATTTCCATCTAGTCGTGATGCTGATAGGATTTCCAGATATTGCAACCTTGCCCTATACCATTATTTGCGATCAGAACCAGACTTCCACTGGTGTTTAGCCCCAAAATATGAATCTGGCCAGATCCACGAAGGGGATGATCGAAGAATGATCTGTACGAGCTGCAAAGCTTCGACTTGTACACATCACCAAGTTCCATGGCACCATGATCTGACCTGCAAAGAGTTCGATGAACGAGTAAAGGAACAACAAGATATGGACAAGAAGTCTCTCGACACAATACAGAAGACAACCGTAGCTTGTCCACGTTGCCATGCGCGAATCGAGAAGAATGGGGGATGTCCGCATGTTACATGTTTGAATCGTAAGTCTGCATCCAAATTTCTGAATACTCAGCATGGCCTAATTATTTTTAGCTATGGGACTTGGTAAGTGTCGCTATGAATTCTGTTACTACTGCTTGTTTCCGTGGAGGAACTATCAAATGTATCATCCACCAGAATGTCTGCAGAACAGACAGAGACGGCCATGATCTCGGCGTACAACTTCTTTGGGACAAATTGGAGTGAATGTTTTCTATGGAGAGATTTGCAGGACAGTCGGATGGAGGTCGATACTTGATGTTAGGCCTCAAACCTCGCTAGGAATAGAAAACTCCGAGACAGAGAACTAGCATGGCAGAAGAATGGAAGAAGGGATTTTAGCATTAGATTTCACGATCGTATGATTTCTCATTTTCAGTGGGTCTAATTGAAGATGATGCGCTGCGCTACAGCGTCTGTAATCGCACTCCGCGCAAGAATATCGGTACATCAGATGTAAGACCAAGCTAAGATGAGATGATAATATTATGAATAAAGCAGGAAATTCTACTTCATTTACAATCTTTACTACTTTTAAATATACTGGCATATAATCTCTATCGCATAATATAATATTGTCAGAAATAGACATGTTGTAGCATTGTTATTGTATTAAGGATCTAGATTACAAGAGAACTTAGTGTTAATACGATCTAGCGAGAAACACAGCCCTAAAGCACTAGTGTAGAACGTGTTTCTAACAAATATACACATATTCATTCACTAAATGATTGAGCTCCTCGTCGCCTCTTCAACATATTCTCAAAATATCGTACGAGACAGCTTTTCAAAGCAAGGATATGGAATAATACCCCAGTATATGATAACCAGCACAATTATTTCGAATCCTAGAGGCTCTAGACTTTTCAGGTGATATTATCTTGCAATATTATCTTGGTACAACTCCATTTACAGCTCTCCAATTGGTCGATCAAGAGTACAGTAGATATATTAAAGACCCGCGTTACGATTATACTATACTCGAGAGTTCTGAGTCCGTATTTATAACGATTACTATATTCGTCAACCGCTTTGCGTAAGCGCTCAACCAAGATGAGATGAATAGGCCGTGTTATAGATGAATCTGTGTTTTATCATGTTTTGTCATTATGGCGCAGAAATGCACTTATGCAGGGCCCGGGTCGAATGGAGTCTACGACTCCACTTCCGGATATTTGACCGTTATTATCTGGAGGCTAGTTCTGATCCACATTGTCAGCGCTACTAGAAACCCGTTCGGGGAAAAGTCGAAATTTGTTTTGACTATATTGAGACTTGAAGTTTCTCTACTGTACAAATAAAACAATCTCTCAAACTATATTATAAAACAATTGTGAACTTGATTATTACGTATTTAAAAAATACAAGCAGAACTTCAATTGTATACAGTACTTGCTAGTACCGGTAGAATCTGCATGTGAAAAAAGATACTGAAGTCCTTGAATAGCTGATTTTTATAGATCTAGCTACTCGAGTATAATTTGAGTTACTAGATCTAAACTGAGAGAAGAAGGTCAGAGAAAGGCATAGTACGATATTTTATAACCAAGACGGAACGGCCGAAGGCCCTAAGTAGGAAGAAGAAGGTGAAGAGGCTTTCGTCATCTAGGTCCATATGGCCTATATGGTAGTGGCCGGACGGGGCACAGGTCTGTTTTATCACATCATAGCATTTGAAGAATAGCTTTGTTACTCGATTGTCTTGAATTTTTCAAAATGAAAAAGACATAGCTACTCTAAAAACCTTTAGGCCTTACGTGACACGCTCACTCCTATAAGTAGGATCTATTTTGTACATGTTCTGGCAATATTTCGTATGGCGAAGGCGTGTGATGAGCTTGATATTGATATTCTCCATTCCTTGTCTTCTACTTGGAAATAAGGTTCAAATTACGAGTACGGATAGATTCGATTGATCCCCTGTACACTTCCCCTGTAAAACCCCCCCCCCCCCCCCCCCCCCTGAATGATTGTTATTCAGCAGGTTGCTCCATATATATAAACCCGATGAGTACCGTAACCTTAAGCTTTGTTTCGATTTGGAATAAGGCAATTTTGAATCAAATAACGGTTCCTACCGATATAAACCCACAGCTTAAACCTGTCAAAATAACCTTAAATCTCTATGCCTATATAACATCACCGAATTTGTAGAAAGTGGACGTTAGGATTCATCACATCACTGGCTTCATATTTAACATTGATGACAAACGTGTTAGTACCGCCCCGTAATTTTCAAAAGAACCAAATCTGGCCCACGCAAGACTCAAGAGCATCCGATCATTCAACGAAGTCCGTTGTAAAAGATCTAGCAATCATTCAGAGGGGGATCCAAAGTGTATTTCATCTACGGAGTGGATGAGGCAAAATTCCATGCTCCGTAGATACTCCAAGCTCATATTGACTGATAATCCCTACCATATCTACTACTGGGATTCAATCCGATGAGCTCGTGCTTCGGACTGTTCTGTTCGCATACTCCACACGTGCCCCATAATGATAAATTACAAGAGGAAATGCCTTGGTATCTTGGCGACTTGCATACTTTCTGGTGACACGGGCAGAACAATATAAGATAAAGTGCGAGGGAACGGTTCCGACAAACTTTGATTCGAGACATCACTATCACCGGGGAAATCACTGCATGGTTCTCTAGTCGGACTAGTAGGAATGGCCGTCTCGAATATTATATAAACTGACCAGATTCTGCCCCAGTTTATACATGGGCAAGAAGATCATATTCGGTCACTCATTGATATCTCAAGATGGTGAATCTCTCTAAGAAACAGCTTTCGCTGCTTGCTGCTCTTGCTTTGACTGCCAAAGCAGTTCCTACTATCGATACCCGTACGACCCATGGTGCAACACAGTCGGAATAGTGCGTTGAATTCTTCTGGTCCCAAACAATTTCCTGCAGAAATTGACATACATGTATCTTGTGAACACAACTAATATTGGACAGTGATATCATTGTGGTTGGTGGAGGTGCTGGAGGCCTGGTCGCATCAACCAAATTCGCCGAGTCTGGATTGAAGACCCTTCTTCTTGAACATGGTGGGCCAATGCTGTACGTTGACGGGAACAGAGAGATCCCAGATTGGACTCTCGAAGAATACAGTGGCAATAACTTGACTCGACACGATGCTATGATGTATTACGCAACAAACTATCCGGGCACTAGTCCAAATGCCGGGAGTTACTATTGCACCAATCTCGTCAATCTGGCAGCATGTATGCTAGGAGGCGGAACAAGTGTTAATGCCGCACAGCAATGGTGGCCCCCAAGGAAATACCTTGATAACGCATTTGAAAACATCAAAGGATGGACAGGGAACGTTTTCCAAGAGGCTATTCAAAGAGTCGCAGCTCGCATCCCACCTACGGCCACTTGGTCGTCCGATAACAAGGTATGATGTGCTTCATGCTAACTTCAAACTGACCAATCTGCTAATAGTTTTGTAGCACTACTACGATCAGGTATACTATCTGATGGGATCGGTGCTCGAATCCATTGGAATTACCGAGGTAGATTCCCTAACCGATGTCGACGATAAATATAACACCTATGGTCGTGATGTCTTCGCTGCTATCGGGGGTCAGAGAGGAGGACCTCTCGTTGGTTATCTTCAAGATGCCAAAAAACTCCCCAACTTCACCCTCAAGATGTATAGCCCTGTGACAAGTGTTATTCGAAATGGTTCCAAAATCACAGGTGTCGAAGTTAACGGCACGGTTATTACTGCCAAGACTGTTGTCCTCTCTGCTGGTGTCTGGAATACCCCCTCTATTCTGTTCGCATCCGGTATTGGGCCCGTTTCGGAATTGTCATTTGCTAAGAAAATCGGCTTCACGAAATATGAAGAGAATGATTGGATTATCAACGACGGTGTCGGTGCCAACCGTGAGTATAATCGACTCTCCCACTTCACACTCCCCGATTATGAATTCAAATTTCATATTTCGTCATTTCTAGCTTTCCCACTGCCTCACATAGTTTTGGTCAATCGTTTTCCTCCAACAGTCTTCTTTGATAGGCAGTTACTAACTCCTAGATATTTTAGTCCACGACAACCCGCAAACTACTGTAAATATTCAATACAGCAACAGTTCTGAATTACCCTTCTATGGTCTATCAGGAGTTCTCACTGGCAACGTCAGCAAGACCGACGCCGACGATCTTTACCACCACCGCGCTGGTCCTCTATCAGGCCCCGGCCGCTTACTCACCGGTTGGATTAACGTGCCTTATCCCAATGACACATCCAAGTATATGACCGTCCAAACCATCTGCTCCAGGCCAACAGCTGTAAATGGTAGCTTCGTGTGCCAATTCAATCTTAACGAGGGTCTCCTTAGCCGTGGTCGTGTAGCGCTTGGCACAGGAGGTAATTTGGTATTTTCTGACGGCGTCGGCCCATGGCTAACAAATTCTCTTGATACTGAGCTCTACGCGACGGCCTTGAAGAGATTTGTCGATGGCGTAAACGCATATCCTGGATTGAATGTGACAACTCCAGCTGGTACTCATGACTTGCCGTACTATATCTCATATCTCAATGAGACGGCGAGAGTGAGCAATAACCGTAAGTATTCTTTTCGTCTATCCGTCTCCCAAAATTTGATTTTGAAGTTTCCTCGTACTGACATATTTTAAGACTGGGGTGGTTCCTGCAGTCTGGGTCTTTGTGTTGACGAGGATGCTCTCGTCTATGGTACAGACAACCTGTTTGTCATCGACGGCTCTCTTAGTCCTGCACCCACCACTTCGAACCCTGCGTTTTTGTATGAGGCGATTGCTGAACTTGCTTCTGAGAAAGTTATCAAGAAGCTTGGTAGCTAGATGAGGGTAAGTAGCTTATACAGATAGTTGGCATACGAGTCTCAAAGAAAGATGGATTGCCATGGGGAAGTTTTTCTTCTTGTATATTAGTTTAGGTTCAAAATAATTGAACATTTTTTCTGATACGAAAACAATGAAGACTGTACTTCAGGCCCATATGTTGTTTTTGGAATTCCACTAGCTCAATGAAAAACGAGGGGTCGTCTCATTTGCGGAGATGTTATGATCTTTGATCATTAATCGATGTTCATGTGAGGGTTCTAGCCTGTCCCCTACTCTTAGTCCCTACAAATAAGCAAGAGATAGATGCGTGACAGTCCTCCCTTTATGCGTTTCACAGTATCAGACCAAATAAGATTCGATCTTGCTCAATCGTATCTCTTGACGGAATTCTTCCCTTAGTTCGTAAGATTAGGGCATGTAGTCAGTGTTTATTCATAAAAAAAAACTAGTCGATATTGAGTATTTCGCCAAGGAGGCAACAAATTGTGATGTTATCGCATGAAATCACGTGCCATAGTCTTTACACGGCGCGCATCTAGCCGCCTTGGCTGAACCTTATCGAGGATGCTTCATGTTTCAAACACATCTTGCTAAGCCCCCAAACTCAACCTTCCGTCGCCAACCACGTTCTAGAGTCCTGTTAAAGAATTCTACATCTGCCAAGTGGTAGACTTCGGATTATTTTGCGAATCAGAAATCTATTCATGCCGCCAGATAGTCTAAGAATAGATTGCTATTGGCCATGGACAATAGCAAAATTTGCTTGGGAGATCATCGTGCGGTATGTGCTAGCTGTTATGAAATTCTAGAGGTAGTGAGTGAGGGTATGGTGAAGTTCAAAGTTCATATCTAAGTTGAAATGGCCATGGGCTATTTTTAGACGGGTTCGATATGATATATGTGTCTTTCCCCAGGTTCATTTCTCGAATAGTTATTCATTTTCATTTTTGTCTTCATACTTGTGAATGGCTGGTACATTCAACCTCTTTTAATTACGGCATTTTAATACTTTGCATTTAAAATCATCGCCGATTGATTTAGTCCACGCTCTTTCTCCCTTGTTTATTTATTTATAGTTTGATATTCGATCATGAGATTCTCTACCATCTTTCTCTCTCTCTTAGCTGTTGGCATCCATTCACTTCCCAGCCCAGCTGTTCAACGAGAATCCGCCGGGATCACCGGTAAGTTTAGTCTCTCAATCGATGATGTATATATCACAATAATAACAAGCCACACAGTCGGTGCCGACGGATCCACGAATCTAGGTGGCGAGTCTGGCATAACCAAAAAACCCGATGGATCCACCAACGTTGGGGGCGAAAGCGGCATCAACGTCGCAGGAGGTGCCAATAGCCAACTACAACAAGCAGCGGGAGGACAAACCGGCAATGGTGGCAATAAAAATGGTACGAATGGTCTAGCCGCGCTTATCGGGGCACTCAATGGCGGAAATAGCACATCAGGCGGAGCAAAGGCTACTGGAACCGGTGGTAAAAAGCCGAAGGGCACAGGGAATGCAAACGCGAACTTGCCACCAGGAGTGGCTTCCACTTCGAGCTTGGCGAGTGTATTTGGAGCGTTAGAAGGAGCGAAGTAGCCGGGGCTGAGTGTTAGAATTGTAAAATTGAGGCATTTCCAGTCTTACAAAGCAAGAGATAACACCCCCTGGGCATCGCATCTACAATCTTCTGTGTTATACGTATATAAAACCGATTGCTATCAGCAGACAAGAGCGGGTTTGAACTTGTCCCACTATATCCTTGTCAGAATAGCATTATGTCCACACAAAAAGAACGCTGTAACTTGCCCCCTTTACTACCCAAAGTCTGCACAGCCATCCCTTATAACTTTCCCTCCAATTCATTCAATGATCTCTCTACCTTCCAAAATCGAATTATTAACCTCTCTCCAACCATCAGAAACTAACCCTTTCCTCCCCCCATCATCCGCCACAATCACCGCCCCTGTCTGTGTAAACCTCAGCCCATGTTCCCAATACCGCACACATCATTAGCCTTTACTGCGTCAATAAATCCATCTCTTCCCCCTTCTTTCACCACCCCTCCCTACCTTCTCTATCTCAGCCAAACTATCCAACGCAGCCCTAACTCTTATTTCAACCTTCACTTCATATACCGCAGCATTTTTGATACTTTCTCTGGCGACTTCAGAATGCTTGAGATCGATCTCAAGAGTAATGATCTTCCCTGGAGCTGAAGATGAGAAGCGCAGCACTTGAGCAAATCAAATCGCGGAATAGCCATCGAGAGTTTCTATATCAAGTATAGAAATTAGCGAGAAGGGAGGGCAGTTTTCATTGATTTGGTGCAATTTCATATACAGTACCACGTTCCCCGATGCGAGTGCTTACCTGATACGGAGCAATTTGGATATAAACGATTGCCCTAGTTCCTTTTATTTATCAAGGAATGCATGGCCAAGAACGACAAAGTTTGAACGGATGGGTCATTGACAAGGAAATCTGGTGTGTAGCATTATAACTCCATCAACAAAAGCTTGAAACTTCAATATCAATGAAACAAGTTCTTGCGAGATACTGTGATAGTTCGCGTGGAATGAGAGTATAACATGCTTTCTTCAAATTGGTGCAAGTATGAAAAGATATGGGCTGATATTTATGGAGGGTAATAAACTGATAGGTGCAACATTCACATAAAAACACGGAATGATAATGTATAATAACAGATTTTATACGTAGCTTTAATATTTCCAGACAGAAAAATATACATGAAAACGTTGCTCTAAATTATACTCTTGATCTTTCATTCGATTGCCGTACCTCGAGAAATAGATTAAGATTTCCTGCGAACGGCTGGTTCACGACTTGATGATCTCAATCGAGGCTCCGCAGTCCTTTTAGGCTCATTGCCAGTACGTGGAATCGACGGAGCTGGAGGTTTCGTAGGCTTCTTGCGTTCAGGGAGTTTGTTGTGTTCACTTTTAGTAGTTGCAAGAGATGGAGTCGTAGTTTTCTTGCGTTCAATTTTAGCACCAGAAATGGATGGAGTCGGAGGCTTCTTAATCGAAGTCGTCTGACTCGATGTCTTTGTGCTTGTTTGCGGTTTACTTGGAGCCGCCGTGTTTGCTGGCGTACTCGGCGTCTTCGTACTCGAACGCGGCTTGATCTGAGCCTGGGGTGCGGCGACTACGGTTCCGATACTAAATGACACACCCGAGTCACTCCTAGGTTTCGCATTGACAGATGAAATTGGCTTTTTACCTAATTTGGGGTCATTCAGGCATTCCAGTATCGTCTTAGCTGAAGGACGCAAAGACGGGTTCTTGACAAAGATCTGTCGTAGTAACTTTGCCAAGTCACCTAATTGTTCGGGGTTGAGTCGGTCGCTGGCGTGGCCACGAGGTTCGCTACATTCTTCGAGCAGATGTTTAAGCTTCCCGTCATCGTCCCGACCTTCATTCATAACGAGGTTAGCATCACACGTAATCTGAAGATCAGGAGATCAGCTTACCGAAGTAATCATATTGGCTAGGGCCGACATAACGTTGACCTTCAAACGGAAGGTTTCCCAGCGTCATAATCTCGCAAATCTGATAATCAGTCACGATGTTGTTCAAAATATGATGTAGGGTATGATACTTACTAGACATCCCAGACCCCATATATTAGACTCGATGGTGGATGACTTCTTTTCCAGGATTTCCGGAGCAGCATAGGCGGGTGTAAAGGCCATCGAACGGTCTGGTGGAACAATCGAACCATGTGGGAGAATATCAATCACATCAAGCTCCAGTTTCTCTCCAACCAGTGAAGATAGAGATTTGGACTCATAGATTTGGGTTGGTACATGGCTTGGGATTTCAATCGAGGGATGTTGTGTTTCTACAGGCGACTTTTCTAATTCGCCGATTTTCTCTCGCAGTTGCGTTTCCGAAATTCTTGAAAGATCACGCACTCGCATCAAGAGATTAGAGGAGCTCAGATCTGTCTCTTATTAGATATATCATGACACATACAATAAGTGAAGGGTATATCTTAGAGGGTCTTTCGAGGAAACTCACCATCTAAAATAATACCATTTTGATGTAATTCCATGATTACTTTTGTGCTGCTTATTGCAAGGAGCCTTCTCTTGTCGAATGACGGTATTTCGTTCTTTAGATATACTCCTATAGACGGACCAGATACTTTCATAACAACGCAAAGATGTCTCTTACTAGCATCATGACGAGATTTGATTTTGAAAGTATCCAAGCATGGAACTATATTTTGGCTCTTTCTCTCAAGTCTTTTCATATCGTCCTTTACCTTCTTCTCATCATCATTTTTGCTTGCCCCGCAGATTTTGATGGCGAACCATCGATTGAGATTACTATAGGTGTTATTGATCAGCATATAAAATCATAAAGTTTGAATATAGCCTACTCTTTATGGATACCAATGGCAAGCCAGACAGTTGAAAAGCCACCAAATCCAAGCTTTGCGATGATACGATACATATCGGTAATATCATAAGGAAGACGCTTGATTGGAAAGAGATAACCATTTAAGTAATTATAAAGAGTTTCTGCATCACCTTGATCGCTGAGATCGCACTGTAAATTTACCATGTCTGAATATTGGTAGTAATATTGGTAGTAATAGTGGTAGTAGTAGTGAGAATGATAATGATAGTGAGATTTATTGACCTGAAAATAGTGAAGAAAGGGAAAAGAAACGAGTAGAAATGAGGTAAAAGGAGATCGATTTGATAATCGTTTGAGTTAATAGTTAATGACAAGCTCTTTATACAAATAGAATCCGACAATACCTTTATCAAATGGGGGGCCCCCAGGAGACAGACCCCTTTTATGGTAAATCAATAACTCGTAGATCATTTGATAGTTACGCACCTGCGACGAATATGAACCAATCAATCAACGCGACAAAACTATACAATCACACCTGTTCCTGTATAAATCATCGCACCAACACAAACAAATACTTCAACCCCTTCAACCTCCAACCACCAACCATCAATCAACTTCCAGCGGCCAGCGACTAAAGGCCAGATTAAATGAACAACCGGTACAAGCCACAAATAGCCGCTGATACAAAATATGACCTCTCCGACCTGAGGATTATCCTGTCAGAATTAACCGCCTACCTTCCGATCAAAAGGAAGTTTGATAGGTTGGCGTCATTATTTGGGGCTCAGTAGTCCTTTTTTTGCAAACAAATTACGGGGAAAGTATGTATGATGAGAGAAGAGACGTACGATAAGCTGGCTGCAACGACAATGGTCAGGCCCATATCCTTTCAAGGTTGAGCTCCATCTTTGAAGCCGTAAAGTTTGCGACCCTACCATCTGGATTAGACTGACAGTTCAGTCTGTAGGCTCGCAATGGATTGCAATGACATAAGCGTTAGTCGGCTGGGTGGCTTGTCAAGAGAACCTAAGACTTCGTATTACCTTTACCAATGGATGAACATTGGTGACTGTAATGGCCTCTCATATCTTGGTGATCCCAAATTTTATAGGACGCATTACAGTGGGATCTTCTTTACTCTATTTCCGTCATTTCTATGTTAGGTGATTCAGGTAGATTTCTGCTCCAACATTTTAGATGCTTTCCTCAAAACTCAACCTGCTGGTCCAGTGGCCTATTGTAACCAAGCGTAATGAAATGCTCACTCTATGAATCAGTATTAGGGAACAGCACTGGATCCTCATTCCGGGTCAGAATTTCCTTCAGTTTTTTTAATAAGCAAAATAGTCAAAGAACGGCCCGGTCTTTACTGATTTGTCACAAGGCTATGGATCGATACGTGATACTGTGGTCAATGCTATGGTTGAAGGATGGTTGTGTTGTGGATATACTCGAGTAGACATGATGGCTTGACCAACATGTCCTTTCTATATAAATATCGTTTGGCTTCTTAATCAAGGGAAATACATTCTCATTAGACATCTACAGCAAACAGTAATCGGCACACCTAGCGAAATAATTCATATATCTTATAGTGGTCAATTCATTATTCAAACTCGAATCACATATTCTCCCTATCTCATTTGTCGACTTCTACTTATATATTCTACCTGAATATACAACTTCGACACACACATTCTCTTCCATCCCATTGTTCAATATTTACTTATACTCTCTACGCTCCCTTCCGCCACCAAAATGCCAGCTAGACAAGCGGACAAAACGCCTTATGACTTTGGGTACGAGACAAAGGGTACAAAGAGGATCATGCGTTACAGGCACAAGAACTTTATAACCAATGGTACCATGTCAAAACGCTCCTTCGAGGCTACCTTCAACATCATTATTGATTATGCAGACTGGGCAATCGCCAATAAAAGGGACTCGGTATTCAACTCATCGGATAACTTTGTTATTGCTGCTGTGGGTATTCATAAGACCACAACGTGGACTCAACATGGCGGTCACAACGATATGGCAGACGAGACAGAGCACGTGACTCTTTCAGCATTGCTTGCAAAAAGTCTTGATAAAAACCCATTCGGTCCCACAGGGCACATCAAATTGAAGTTGGCCAAAAAGGAAAAGGATGCGAGACTTGACTCTGTTGAAACCTTTTCCTTTAATCCACTACATAAAAATGCGCAAGGGGTAACAGAACCTATTTCTTGGTTCCCCGGTAAGCAATTCACGAAAATCAACGGTGATGCTATCCGCGAGTGTTTCCCTGGGCTGAAGTTTGAGCGAACGCCGAGCCCAGAATTACAGGCTCCGGTAGAAACCAGAAAAGAGGCCGCAATCCCCGAAAAGAGCGCCTGGGGTGCGCCTAAGACTACGACCACTACTCCCGCCGCGGCTAAGTCTAAGTCCACTGTTGCAGACCTGGGAAAGAAGTTGACATCTACAACCATTACCCCGCAAAAGGCAGAATCGAGTCGAGGTGGAGCGGGAAATCTGCCTCCGTCTAGAAGTACTGGCAGAGCTGCTGAGCGTTCTAGTCGACCACCAGCACAAGATGCTACAAAGGAAGTGAAATCAAGATCGAGATCTCGCACCCCGGGAGGTACAAGGAAGCCTACGACGTCGTCTACTACTACCGCGAAGACTCAGAGGACCGCTCCTCCGCCCGCTCCTAGTTCTGCGTCGAGAACTTCAACATCTACTACAAAGACAGCGTCAGCGTCAAAAACTTCAACTTCAAAGTCAGCGAGAAAGCCAGATCTGAAAGGTCCGAATGACCCGACCAATAAAATGAAGAAGCCACCTGTTGGATAGAGAGGAAGAAGAATAGCTCAGGTAGACTAATCTACTGTGCTAGCGCTGGAACTCCCCAGAAATAAAAGAGTCAAGTCTCGTTTGAGGACCTCGCCGGTTACTATCATGGAAACAATAGATCTGAAGTTGTCGGGAAATAGAAGAGGTCTAGAATGGCCGTCAAGAGAGGAATGTGGCAGGACCACAGCATTTGCTTTTTATGGTTTGTTTTTTTGCGAGGGTACTGTTTTGAATTTTTTGAATTTGGTTGGAATTTGGTTGAGATTAGATTGGCATGTATACGACGAATAGATTAGAACTAGAAAGCACTAGAAAATAGAAAAGAACTTGTATTCGCATTGCCGATCTTGCTATATTTGAGATTCAATATGTGCGAGAGATTCAACTTATTTGAGAAATTTGATCTATCTATATCGTTGTAGTCTTACAATTCTTCAAAACATCGAAATAAAAAATAGTAGCCTACAGAAATCCCATATACACTGCCATAAAACCACCTATATATGCCAATCATTTATTGAATATATATCATGACATTGTTCCCAAGTATTGAAACTTCATGGCTTCCTATTGGTAGATGAATTAAACACAAGATTGCTACAACCTAGAATGTTAATACCTTAGACTTCTAGTATGTGAAGGACATCGTAATGTGGACCATGCAAAAGTCTAATGTGGCTATCAAGGAAGCATTAATGGATTTTGTGGAGGCCGGAAGCGACTGCATTGAGTATAAATGCTTCCACCATATTTGGGAATGGGGTTTGAGCATGGCTTTTGAATTTCTGATGGTTGCAGTTTTCTCTAGACAGCTTTGAGTGATGTTAAAAGGAGTCATCTGGATTCTTAGTTCTGGGAATCTATAAATACTCACTCATCTAGACATGTCTCATACCACATGCTACATTCCTTGAATTTCCCTTCCCTCAAAAACCTCCTGTAATTACCCTCGTTTCGTAATTCTTTGGGACAACAAACAACCCCTTTGCTTCCACACAAACCCTTCCTTCCAATGTCTCCAAACGTCCCTCTACCCATCTCTTTCTCTCCCCACCTGCCCCCTCTCCCACAACCGGCATAGCCCTAACCACATAAAACGCATTGGTAACACTCGGCTTCAAATATCGCAGTTCCAGTTGTGCTGTCACTCCCGTTCCCGCTGCCAATTGTCTAATGGCACATCTTCCTAACGACTCATCCATAATCGTCGCTATGAGCCCTCCATGCACAACCCCGGGCCACCCTTGCAACGCTCCCCCCAAATATACAACCGTGATGAATTCTCCCGTGGCAGAGTTATAGAATACCCGTTGATACCCGCCCAGACCCCGAGATCCCCCCAATGGACCAGTTGTAAGCCGGTGGGGTCGTTCTTCGGGTGTGAATGTGGAATAGGCATCCCATGATTGCCAGATGGGGTCCTCGGTGAGTGATTGTACGAGGGGTATCTTGGAGGCTTGGGCGTGTAGCCAGGAGGTCATGAGTTCGTCGGGGGGAGAAGAGGGCTCGGGAAGTGGAGGGGGGGAGAGGACAAGTGAGACATATTGCCCGGCTGTGAGTCCGATGAGGAGGAAGATAGAGGCATATATTGTGGGACGGAGGGATCGTGTTTTTCTAGGAGATGGAGGTGGAGATGCTGGCGCAACTGGTTGAGAGGAGAATTGAGATCGCAGATCGCGATTTTGAGGTATTAATGGAGGTGAAGTTTCAGGAGTAGCATTAAGACTATTGGTGTTGGGTTGTGATGTTGGCGGGGTTGAATATGATCGTGTTTGTCTATGGAGGGGTGTCCATTTTGAGAGAAATTGAGATCGGAGCGAGTGTCGGCATCTTGGAGAGGAGTGTGGTAGTTGTCGAAAGACACTTTTAGATGAACGGCAGGTTTGGATTGGTAGCCGGGCACTCATTGTGATCCGGTATCGTTTAATAGTGAATGACTTGCTTCTTTTTCTCGAGCTCCAACAACTCCGTAAGGTACCTCGGTCAAAGCTTCGATGCCTGGAACATGGGGCAACCACATCTCTCAAGGTAGGGGACCGCTTTGAGGTCTGTGCTTCGTGCAGCGCGTCTACCCCCCTATCTTTATGGCCTAAGCAGGCATATGTTAATGGGTGTCAAGAAACCAGAAATGCAACTGAGATGCGAGAATACGCTTGACTATCCACGAAATCCTACGAAAGGCGAGAACTTGTTCACATTTTAATTTGGCGAGGCTCAATCTTGATGACACGCTTGACCGGCGTTGCTCTCCAACATTTGGATGAACTACGGTACCGTTACTACACTCGAAAGGTGGAGACATGTGTCAATCTTTCTGTATCATTCATTGCAAGCTCAGTTCGGCCGCTGCCGTTCTCTCTACATGATATATCTGTGACTTCATCCGCATCATCAGAATATCAGCTTTTTTAACCAGATTTAGAAATTTTCGGTTAGGTTTTTCAAACCCTATGGAAATTATAGCACTTTTAGTACTGGCCGGAACAGACTCTCCAACGTAGACCCTCAATATCATCTTCTGACATTTTGTTTACGGATCCATCCATCATAGCCAAGCTTCGGACAGGTCTCGACGCAGTTGCAAAAGGATTCTTAGGACCAAAGTTTGAACAATTCCCTTATCTCTCAGCAATGATCGAAGAGAAAAACCCCTTCTTTTTTGGCGTCACAGCCAGAACTGCCCGCATTGCGCATGATTAGCTTACTTACACTCCTTCTTCTCGCGTTAACTCCGCATCAGGTACACATACTGGGAAATCCTACAATACCTACTCGTCATTCTGGTCAGTATAAAACTCTAAGCGTGTATATGGCTCAAACTGTCTTCCCCGACCCTTTCAAGTGTGATCCCAAGCGTTGGCTAGGCAATTGAAATTGTGAGCGATGCAAATTCTAGTTTTGCCTTTGGTGAAGGAGACCATAAAGACTTCGAGATAGAGCTTGTGAACATTGAGTTATACCTCATAATTACCATTCCAACACATTGATGTGATATAGCATTCCTGTATGACTATCATATTGCGATGCCGAAGATGAACTCGTAGATTGTGAGGATCATGGCAGAAGTAGTGATAGAGAAATGAGAAATCAGTACATTTCTCGGCTAGGAATTGCTCCCCGCTAGGCCTATCACTTGGTTCGATGGCGGGATGATCGGCTAGATCCCATATATGAGAGTGGAATGACTAGTATATACTTGAATCCTGATCTACCATATGCAAAACCACAAGTCGACAGTTTGGAAAATCTGGCTGTGCATAGGATACAAAATGGGGACCATTTTATTGCTCAGTAGTTTGGGGACGATCTATGTACATGCACTGAATATCACTTTTCCGATCCTGACCACGATTAGACCACAGCTCAATCCTTTCACGTAGTAGTTGTCCATTTTTGAAGCCCACTTTCTCGAGCACTCTCGCACTACCATAATTGCCTGGAGTGTAAGCAGCTGCGATTTGCGGCAGGAACCTCTTTTCTGTGCTAATATTAGCCCCCATTCTCTCGTTTTCACTCACAATTCACATCTTATCTCCCTCATTCCAACATCTTGAAAGCAAAGACGACAAACCTTCAAGATTCCAGAACATATCTACAAACAATTTCAATGCTTCTGTCATGTACCCCTTACCCCAATAATCGAGGTGGATCTTGTATCCCACATTCGCTGGTGTATGAGATGTCCCGATGATACCAATCATTTTCGTCTTTCGCCCTCCCCTCTCATCCTCCACAGCTATGAGAGAAGGTGATGTAGTCGGAATCATGATTGCCCACAGTTGGAATTGGACGCTAGACATACTTTCTACGATCCTCTCTTTTGTTTGCTCGAGATTGACATGTGGTGCTCGGGTTCTGTACACATGAGCTTGGGCTTGTTTCACATGGGACTTCCTCAATATTCTTACGACCATTCTGCGACACGAGGCTCGGATAAGATTTCATGGCACTCATGAAGGTGCTTGTCAAGATTGAGAGGTTCAAGCAGTAGACGTTCGGAACTCACTGTGCGTGATGACATGATTAGGTAGTTAGATTTGGGGGAAGTACTTGAAATGGCGAATTCTCCACCTTGTATTCGATTAAGAGCGAAAGAAATTGGATGTGTAGTTGATATGTTATGCACATGTCGTGATGAGTCACACCGGATGAGTAATAAGAATGTATCTAATTGGCTGGTTTAGCTTGGAGGTTATGCACCCACGTTTGATTCCATGTCGACTGAGTTAGAAAGCAGGTACCATCAGATTCAAGCCGGCCTTGTCAATAACCACTCTCTATGCCTCACGAGCTTCTTCTCCTTGCCACCTTTAGTCCATAGTTCGTATTGCTCCTCTTGAAGATTTCCTTCTTTAAAGCCTACCTTCTCTACTACTCTCTGACTAGAAGTGTTCTCTGGGTCTATAGCAGCTACCAACGTGTTCCAGTCTCCCTTTCCTGTAGTCTAGTTAGAAAATCAATGCATCACAGCGGTCTCTGAATTCACGTACTTTCTTTGCTCCAATATAATCCTAAGAACAATTTCATGGCCTCGGTGGCATATCCTTTGCCGTGGTATCCGGGATGTAACCCATAACCCACCTCAGCACCATGTCCAGCCTCGAATCTTATCATTCCGAGTGCGCCAATAAGTCTAGGCTTCTTGTCGACGGAGGCAGGTGATGATGGGCGGAGTAAAATTGCATAATTTTCAATCCATGGCTTTTCAGGATTTGGCGTTCTTTCGACCAAGTATGCTTTACTCTCGGCGATTGACTCGGTTGGTTTTCTACAATAAGTTGAGATTTAGCATAATTGGATTAGAGTTGACGAAATTTTGAAGCGCTCTTACGTCCATGACTGAACTCGCGGATCAGATATCATTTCGTGATAGCCATCGAGATGTTTATCTACGGCCAATGGCTCTAGCCAAAGGCGCTCAGACTGAGCTGGATATTGTGACATTGCTTTCTTTAAGATTTAAGGTGTTTCGGATAGCTTCCTCTCCTTGATCGCTATTTATAAGATGAACATAACCATTATAATCAATAGCATTCGGCATCGAGTCATATGGGTAGTGAATGACTCAGTGAGTCAGCATCTACCCCAGCTCCCCAACATCATTTGAAATGCATGGTTCAGAATTGATACTCTCGAATCAAGAAACCGGAGAGTCCGTAAAAGGGTAACTTTAATAGTGACATACAGTCGTACAATCAGAGTATTAATAAAAGAGGTCGTCTGAAGTCGTTTAGATAAGCTTTGAGCATGGGAGCACTGCAAAACAAAATGTAATCAAATACAAAGAGATAAATCAAAGTTGGCACACAACTGTGATTTGAGATATCTACAGTTGGAGCTGGTTCTTGTATCAAATCGCAAGGCGATTGCATCTCTTCTGGAGGAGGATCTACTGACTCAATAGACGATCTGGGGACCTATTAAAGGAGGCTCTTCGAAAGGTGCAACTCACAGATACTTCAGCACTCTTCGCCGCGGGTTTGTAAGGCGAGAAGCTTTAGCAGAAACTTTGAATTTCGTGAAAAAAAAAGACAGGAACTCAAGGCTCAAGAAAGAGAATGAAAGCTGGGAAAGAACAATGGTCAAGTGGTTATTTTTTGCGACCTCTTTACTTTGAAGGATAATATCAAGGAAGAGGAGCGTTAGAAAGTTTTTCAATGACTTATAATGGTTTAGACCCCCTACCATAACCGAGAATAAGTGTGGAATTTATTGCCTGGGTCTTCTTGCCAGTAGTATCTAAAGGAACAAGAATCAGAGAACAGTATGAATTTGGTACATTCTCTATTTTGTGATCACAAGGAATTCCTGAAGGGAAGTAGAAGAAGCATGCTTGTACCATACCGAATATTGCAAAAAGCGAGCTTAACGGCACCGAATATGCCCCTGTGGTATACTTCTATTGAGCAAGGAACGTTGATAGCCTGAAAGTGCTGACCCTACTGAACTGCTGAGTAGTATCCTAGAGCAGCTATGCTCATTAGATAATGAGACATCAATAAGAAAGCCTGTATTAGATTTTTCCCTATTTCGGAAGAAGGAAGATAGCATGTGATACTGGTGATATCATATATTTCTTGATGGTATGAACCAAATTTGTCGCATCTTGAACGAGCAGAAAGTGATCGATTAGAAAGCGCTTTCTCTAGCGTAAGACATCGACCAAGGAAGCGAAATCCTTCCTGTGAACTTGCTCACAATACACATGGAAGTTGCTCCAGAAGTAACGAATGTTACACTATCCAGCTGAGACTCAGAGATGAAACAGAAGTTACCGGAATGTAACTCAATTAAGATTGACAAGGAAGTGATTCGGTTGTGACCGATAATATCAGGTATGAAAAAGAGACTATGGAGCTATTGATTGAATTAGATACTGAGCATACAGACTGGAAGGAGCTTAACTTGAACATAACCAAAGCAGTCTCATCTGGCGGCACTTCATGGGGCCAGGATATACACGCTGTATACGGACACGCCAGGAGGTAAATGAGAGTTGCTAAGAGTAGAGGTTGTACACTGTAATGTTTGATCACTGTGATCTCGCGCAACAAAAAAAACAATCGAGTGAGTACCGGTACACACTAATTGCGAAGTGGACTTGGGGATATTGAGGCTAGCCCACGTTATATGGAGGTACAGCCTTTTACCAAGTCCAACAGAGTCAGCGAAAAAAGTGCCATACGACATATGAGCGCTGCTCGGGGCCGAAAGTCGTTGGATTGGTAGACGGTGTCGGATTTCCAGTGCCATTTGAACTTGGGGAAACCAAATGTTGGGTTCTTAAGAGAGTTCAATGTCAAGGGAGGACATGCTTAAGCATTGAATCCTCGACATAAAGCTATTCGCACCTATATCCCATGAGTCTCAGTCCAAATCGACCGTATCAAGCTTCGCAATATCAGATGCGACATATAGCTTTACACAAGAGCAGATTATCTAATGATGATATGATATGATGGGTGATTATCATCATAAGGTATCAATTATCGCCATATATTCTCGATCACATTGCTCTCTTCTGGCCCACTGCTTCTGCCGGCTAGTACCTTCAATATACTAGATGAATTGGCATTTGACGTCACCTGGACATGACTAGAGGCGCATTGGCATGACCACCGTGTAAATGATGCGTAGCACGAACTCACGAACTCACTGAAACCGAGACCGGCAGATAGAAACATTGAAACAGACGAAGCTTATGCAGATCTGATATACCAAAGCACTTATGAAGTCTCCCGACCATTGAATTTCCATAAGAGTATCTGCAGCCTTACCGTGAAAACGAACCAATCAACACCTGCCCAGAATCAAGCAATATTGTGTACATAAATCCCGATAAAACGTACCTAGTATATCACCATCGAACCTAAGAAATAGCTCTTATACTAATAAGCATAACCCATCTAAAATTACAAGTAATCCCACAATCCAAACAACCAAGTGAACTGCCCTCACGCGCCTCGCCTCGCCTCATCAAGCCATAAATTATTTGCTCTATGAGAGATAATCTCCCCAGCCTCGCTTACTGATACTATATATATTTTATAAACGACAAACACCTCAACCAAAAAGGCGAATTAGTTCGGTGGGCAAGAGCTCGACTTCGGTCGGGAAGGCGTTTAATACACCAGTTAGGCACAAACAAGTTACGAAAGAGCCCGCTTGGCCACATCCTCGAGGAGATGGGAGATTTATTCTTTTGCGCTCCTTTTTTTGGAGTTGGAGGAATGAATCAATTTTGCTCTTGATGGTAGGTAGGTAGTGTATGTAGTACGTGTATGTAGTTGTAGATAGATAGGTCTTTTTTTCGAGGCAAGTAAGGAGGAGTGTAGATTTGTTGATGGTATGTATGTATATATATATATATATATGTGGGGCGAAATGGTGGATACGCGAGGGTGAAAAGAGAACAAATAGATTTATTTTATTGACAATTCAACAATGCGATGGAATTATTATTAAATTGAATAAAAAAAACAAGAAGATAATACATCAAGTAGAAGCTTTTTTGAATTCTTGAACGATATAGCTAGCCTATGACAGTCTCAATTTTGCACGATCCCGTGCGCTGAAAACCTTTGTCATTCTTCAAAATAATCGAGCCAAATATTCCCATATTCGAATCATCTATTATTGTTCCTCATCAGTGGCTGCAAAAGCAGACCCACAAATCACAACTTCCATCTCCCGGCCCCCAACCAATGCATCCTCCAGAACGCGATCGCCAACCATCTCTCGGTACAGAGTCTTGCGACTCGCACCGTCTTCCTTTCCCTCCCCCTCCAAACCCACTGCCGAGAGACCGCCTGCGAGTTTCTAGATATTGTGATATGTGTTAGTTATGTTTTGTGACCCTTCCATAAGAAAGTCAAGAGATGACGACGAGGTAAACCAGGTGGACCAAGTAAACCAGGCAAACAACCGGATGTGAAAGGTAGATATATCCTTGAAGAACCATACATACAGCATCAATTCCCATATTCCTCGCCTCTTCCTTCTTCTCCTCTCTTCTCCTCTCCAACTTCTTCTTCCTCCTTTCTTTCTGCATGTCGAACAACAAAATTAGCAACCTTATACATGAAAAATCCCCAAGATCTTTCGCACAATGGACCTCACACAATAAATCCCTAGAAACCGAAAGAAGAAACGGAACGGAACATACCTTCTTCTCCCCAGCATAAACGCCAACAGCAACAGCACGAGCAGAAGCCTCTATCTCCATCTCCTATATCAACAACCCATCAGCCACCGAACAGTGACACGATCCAGTGAAATTAACAGACACATTGAGCAGAACAAAGGATCATTGACAAGTGCTCGTACCCGTACCCAGCTTCAACCAGCAAAACAGTAAGAAACGCGTCGAAAACATACCTCCATACGCTCGAGAGCCGCATGCCCCAGGAGCATCTTCATCTTGCTCGTTAGAGCTTTGCCCTGTCGTACCCTATCACAAGCTTCTTGTAGGATTTCTTCGTTTGTAGGCATATTGACGATTCGATTTGATTTTAGGGAAAAGCGATGGGAAGCGTTGTGAATTATTTACAATGAATGTTCTCTGAAGAGTCTGTCGCGTTTGAGATGGGATTTTATTTATGCGAGGGCAAAATGGGCCATGATTCAGACGAAAGGAGTGAGAATACCTGACGATGGGACGAGAATATACTTTTAATCTATCGATACAAAGAATGATGTTCCTGTTCCTCTTACTAGATAGATCTAAGCATCCAACTTCAATCTTTCCAACAAAGTATCTATCTTTCCAAGTAACGTCTGGTAGTTTATAGCATCAGCCGCAAACTCATCGCCTGCAATTTCGCCATTGAGAGTTCTAATCTGACCACTCATCGGTGGATCAAGGGCGGGAGCTTGAGTTTGCTTCATGTCAGCCGCTTCACTGGGCTTCATATCTTCCGTGGAAGTATCGACAGTGTTTTCCTCCTTTTCATCCATCATTTCTTCCAAGCCTGGGTCTTCGAATCGGAGTCGGAATCGTTCGGAGAGATAGAAGCGAATACTGGAGGTATGTCAGTTAGTAAATTCAAGAAGAGGTTCTAAAAAGAGCTACACATTCCAACGTCAAACGTCTATTGAAGCTTTTCAATATCTTTGGAGCCTTTTGATTAACTTGAACGGAAATGAACATTCAAACATATGTTGTGGCCTTTCGGTGTTCTAAATCAGAAGCAATATTTAAACTTGATTAGACAAGAGATGGGGTAGCATACTCATCTAGTAACTCAATAGTATCAGTTTCTTGTCTCTTTTCGATCCTGGCCGCACTCTCGTTGATCAACTCCTCAAACTCTGGCTCGTCAATATAATCTTCCAACCTGTACGCCAAATATCTAGCGCAGAATTCTTCTAGTCGTTGGACTCTCGTCAACCATCCAGCTCTCATAACATCGTAGGGGTTTATCAACTCCACATCTGGTTCATCATTCTCAATGTGTGTACGATCTGCTAGTGTACTCGAACCATTTCCAAGAGTACTGATGATTACCGCAGCTTTAGTTTTGAGTTTCTCGATAAAGAGCATATCAGCTGCGAGAAGAACATCTATCGCGATATCAAGAGGGATGTCAACGTTTTCGGTATAGAGAAAATCGAGAATGAGCTCCAGGACAGCAGGGGAGCAATCAACATAGATGGTCTGCAAATATTCGGTTGTTTGAGCTTCTTGGAACGATGAATTAAACATGGTCTGGAAGTATTCAGATCGTATAAGCATGGCTCGATGAGCCGGATAAAGTATTGATTTTCGAGGTGGATTGGTTGATGCGGTTTGAGATGAGCTTGAGGGGCCCACAGGAATACTATTTAAAGAGGGACTTGCATTATGTGTTGGCGTTTCCTGTCCAGAGCTCGAGACTTCCTCGGATGTCAGATCTTCGTCTGCTTGTAACAAAACATCCGCAAAGATAGCATTATTCCTAGTCCACTTCACATCCTTAGCTTTCACGGTATCGATATGTATTCTATGCTTCAAAACATTCCCTCGATACCAAGACTCCATCTGGTCCCTTGCTCTTGAGGTTTCATCTTGATGCCGTTGCCGAGCTATTCTCCTATCACGCCCACTTAGAAGGCCTTCCCACAATGATTCTATCTCTAATTGTTTGCTGATTTTATTGATCCCTATCAACACATCATCCACAGAAGCGTTGGATTTGAGACCGAGGTCCGATGGTACTTCACCCATGTATAAATACCGAAAAGCAACTTGAAAAGATTCTGGTGGTATCGAAGCTGTCAATTTCCATAACGTGGTTTCTGGGGCCGCAGAAAGCTTTCTTTGAAAATATGGTGACCGGGCCGAGAGTATCATCTTGTGTAAATCCCACGATTGAGACCCGGTAGTGAGTGTAATGTCTGAGGTTTTAGGAGTCTGCCTGGTGAGGAGAGAGGTGATATGAGAAGCGAATGGTTGTAATGGATCTGTTGATTTCGAATAATCGTACTTTAATAAAAGGTTTCGAATCCTATTATTCAAGGCATTGTATAAACATCTCTCCCCTTGAAATGTATCTCGCTCACAAAGAGCTCCGGCTTCGAGAAGCAACTCAACAATAGTATAGTGTCCGCAAAGACTTGCCTGGGGTCTGTCAGAGGGGGTAGAATGTTAGGAGTGACTGCAAGGCTTACCAAAATCAAAGGAGTATAATCAAATGGATCTCTAGCATTGATATTGATTCCGGGAGTACTAATTGATTTCTGAAAACTCACCACATCTCCAATTCGACATGCCATGCAAAGCTCTTGAAATGCGGGACTGGTATCAAGAGGACTTTCATCTCTCAATAGACCCTCTTTAATCAATTGATGTTCATCCTTGAGTTGAACTTCGAGCTCATCTTTTCGTTTTACCATAGTAAGAAATATATACTCGAGTATAGAGAAGGACAATCAATGTTATTATGTGAATAGAGGAAACAAGCAGTGGGGAGTGAAAAGTGAACACTGGAGGTAGAGTAAAGATAGATGAAGATATAAAAATCGTGGCGAGGTTAGAAATGGGGGGGCTTATCGATAAAAGGTTCAATCAGGATAAGGATAAGGTTAAAGATTCGGAGTTGACATTTAATGCCCCGCTCACCGCCCGGCATTAAATTCGGTTAGCTCTAACCGATCGGTACTAAAATCTCCGATCTAAGGGTTGTTGGCTTAGCAACTTAGCAACTTGTTCATGAACCAAAAGTAAACATATCCATTACTGTATCAATCTCATCAACTTCAATCATTTTCTCATCAACGACAAAACCGCCTACCAACAACTACACTACTACTTTCAATTGCTTTCTTTTCTTAGATCAATACGAAGATCGGAGTTTTTCCTGGATTATAACATTTTCGCAATCATGCCTGAGGAAAATAAGTACGAAGTTTTGGAAAAGATAGGTAAGTCTTGAAACTGAAGTGATTCATACATATCCATCCAATGTTACTGCGTTAGACAGAACTAATACATTCAATTCTGTAGGACATGGCTCATTTGGTATCATTCGAAAAGTCCGAAATAACAATACTGGGGAGATACTTTGTCGCAAGGAGATCAACTATATGCGCATGTCGCAAAAGGAACGAGAACAATTACAAGCCGAATTCGCCATTCTGTCTTCACTCAAACACCCAAACATCGTTGGATACTATCACCGCGAGCACCTAAAGTCCAGTCAAGAACTTCATCTTTACATGGAATATTGTGGAAATGGAGATCTTGGTAGAACCATCAAGGATTTACGAGCAAATAATGAATATGCAGAAGAAGGCTTCGTTTGGAGTATATTTTCACAATTGGTTTTAGCATTGTACAGATGCCATTATGGCATTGATCCACCAAAAGTTGGAGATAATGTTATGGGTTTGGGAAATAGCGCCAGACCAAAAAAGCCAGCGGCTGGTGTCATGATTCTACATCGGGACTTGAAACCCGAAAACAGTGAGTATCTACACCTTCCTCGTCCCATTCCTTGTCCTAACGATTGTAGTTTTTCTTGGAGAGGGTAACTCGGTGAAGCTGGGTGATTTTGGTCTTTCGAAATTGTTGGAATCTCACGATTTCGCTTCCACATACGTTGGGACCCCCTTCTACATGTCGCCGGAGATCTGCGCCGCCGAACGATATACATTGAAGTCAGATATTTGGTCGCTAGGATGCATCATGTACGAACTTTGCACGCGAGAGGTCCCCTTCAACGCCAAATCACATCCCCAGCTGGTGCAGAAGATCAAAGAAGGCAAAGTCGCACCGATACCAAACATATATTCACCAGAACTCGCATCGGTTATCAAGGACTGCCTTAGAGTCAACCCCGATCGACGAGTAGACACCGTTACATTGCTCAATCTCCCTGTGGTCAGATTGATGAGGAAAGAAAAAGAACTTGTAGAGCTTGGCAGGATCTTGAAGACGAAAGAAGACAAGTTTGAGGCTCAAAAGGCTGCTATGCGCGCAGAAATTTATTCATCATTGCGAAGAGAATGGGAAGCGAAGGCTCAATTGGAAATAAATCGTCAAGTACGATTACAAACGGAGAACTTACGTAATCAATTCGAAGAAGAAGTCCGTATTCGAGTTGAACAATCATCTGTTACATTTTCTTCGATGGATATTGAGATGATCGACCCCTCGCCAATGCCCAGGAATTATCGAAACATTATACTAGTCGACAAGGAGAATGACTCTCCTATACCTACACGAAAACAAGCAGCAATGGTTGGACGAACTCTCGTTGAATTAGCCCAAGCACGTGCTAGCGCAAAAGCGAGCCCTAGCCCTAGCCCTAGCAAAAAGGAATTAAGAGGAGTATGGAATCCAGAAAAGGATGATATGCCAAGTCCTTTCTTAATTAGAAGTAGAAAGACGAGATAGAGTTGATTTATTATTTTAATATTAGTTAGTTTTTAAATTTATGTATTTTAATTAACGTGG